GCAGCTCACTATATCAACTCATATCAGCAATGCAAGTTATGTGGGGTTGCCTCATTTGTATAATATCAAACGCATTCATCTTCGCAAGTATTTGTCTCGAGAATCAACGGAAATGCTTGTCCATGCATTTATTACATCTCGAGTTGATTAATGCAACAGTCCTTTGCATGGGCTGCCCAACTACCAGCTTAACAAATTACAGAGAGTTTTGAACGTCTCAGCCAGGCAAGTTTATAATGCGCCTAGGTTTTGCCACATCCCACCCCTTCTGCGTAGCCTGCATTGGCTACCTGTTAAAGCCCGGATACAAGTTAAGATACTGCTTATTACGTTCAAAGCAATTCACGGCCTTGCCCCTGAATACCTATGCGATTTACTAACATTTAAAACGTCTTTTTATAACCTTAGATGTTCAGGTAGTATTTTACTTTCTATTCCAGCTGTTCGATCGAAGACTACGTCAGGTGACAGAGCCTTTGTGGTAGCAGCGCCAAAGCTCTGGAACTCTCTTCCAAAAGAACTTCGTGCGATTACTAATGTGAACATAAGACTTATCTCTTTAGAACTGTATATTGGTGGTCAATTTTATATTCAGTTACTTATTTGCATGCATATAATTTCTTATATTTCTTATTCTATTTTTCCGTCAAAACCGACGGGAAAATAAGACGGGAGATTCGTCTTAGACAGAAAACCGTATGAAATTCACATTCAAAATCGAGACGAGTTTTTGCACTTTTACATAAGGAGAAGACTGAGACTAGAAAGCCAGCAACTGTTTCTGGATAAAAATGGCGCCCAGGAAGTTAAGGTCACGAGAAACAGACTAAGGGAAGGAGGGAGAGAGAAGCGAACGCATCAGCTTAACGCATAGGTTCATGGGCGGATTAAGGGGTCGGCCAAGTGGACCGCAGCCACCTTCCCTTTTGTGATTTTTTACCGTGCTATTTTGGCCGCCACCTTGAGAATTTGACACCTTTTCTTCACATTTATTCCTTCCGTGGTTTTACAAGAAATGACTAAAAAGGTACACTCTTCGATACATTCCTCAAATTTCTCCCGAGAAATTTCGTCCGCACCGCGTCGTCTTCGATTCAGGAAGTGTTTGGCTTCCTTCTCCTCTAACAGCATATCACCTGTTAAAAAAGCAGCAGAGGCAAGAAGCACTTTGTTTTGTTTCACCGCCCCTTTCTGGCATGGTTCGTCGTCATTACTGGTCGGAGAATTGGTTACATATTTATCAGAGTAATTTAGTTGACTTTAAGTCTCTGCCCTACCCCAGACAGCAGCAAGTCATCACATGGCTTAGTTGGTGTTTGACTTACTTTTGTCTCGGTTCTATTTCGATGCCGCTGAGTCACCTGCGCCAGCAGCAAGGAAGTAGGTTGTAACCAAAGTGGCCAGCAAAGTCAACCGGATCAAACGTATCTCCGACATTGCAAATGTGCAATTAGTTTTCTTCTGCCACAACTGCTGTGCTGATCTCAATCATGCACTTTCCTTGCTCCACGCGGTGAGGGTAAAAGGCGGAATGAGTTTGCTTAATGGCATGTGCCATGGCTTGCGGAATGACATAATTATGCGGAATGTAATATATGCAGAATGACTTAAAGAAATAAATTAAACTGAAAATTGCTCCCTTTTTTTGGCGCCAATCAATTCTCAAGCAGCCGCTTTTTTAATGTTGCGTGCACGACTACTATGACAATCGAAAAGCAAGGAAAAACTCCTTGATTTCCCTCGGTCGATTAGCTTTTTTTTTTCAGCCACAGATTCTACTTGCATTTAGTAGTCGGGCTGCTGGCAGCACCGATACTACATCACGAAAATCGGCCATTAAAGAAAAGATGTTTTGGAAGGTCACACTCTCTTCTGCTTTAGTTTATTTCTGCAAAAGATATTTGTACAATCAACGTCACTTTTTTTAATTTTAACTGAATTTTACAAAACGGTTTCCTTTACAAACGGTGGGTCGCGTGATTGTTCCTGACATAACCGTTCAGAGATTGAACGTGTTTTGTATTTTGTATTCTTGGCTGCGTGGTGAACTTTCAGGTAAGCGAAGCTAACAGCTGGCCGAGAAGCGCGAGCTCGAATCCTGGCAATCGAGTTTGTGTGCTTTTTGTTTTTCTTTCTTTTCTTTTCACACTAACTGTTCAAAAAAAATACACTTGGCTAGTTCAAACAAACAAGGGAGGTGCGAAGAAACGCGAAAAAGCCTAAAGGAGACAGAGAGAAGTTCGCCGCTTCACTCGATTTGTGGTATACGCATTAATGTTTTACTCGAGGCGTTCATTTAGTCTCGAATATGATCTGATTCGTTCACCGGCGTATTTAAAATCCCTAGAATTGTTGCTAGTAACCCTCTAGCGTTGCCATAAAGAGTGTCCCTTGAATTGAGTTTAGCCAAATAGCACAGATTAAATACCCGTAAAATCCCAGACAGATTTGTAACACAGTACGTCTGCACGTATTTGCAAGGCTTATTTCTTTATTTCATTTGGGACTACTGAGTCTGCAATTTCCTACCAACCTCCATCCCAGGGTCCTCTCTCTTCCTTTCTATTTTACCTCGTCCGCCGTTAGGACGTTTTGCTATGTAATGAGGAGAGTAAAAATTCACTAGGAGACTGTTTAAACTTGACATGTTTTCCTACTTTCAATGCGCTTTACTGGAAAAGAGACGTGAGTAAAGAACCGTTTCAGTATATTTTGGAAACGAGTTATGATGAGTTATCAAGTATTAGCGGTGTTTCTATTTTAGCCTTGCTTTAATAGCGGTAATAAATGGACCAGCAAATCGATTGCTCACTCAAATTGGCGCCAAAGAAGGCGCGGCAGAGACGAGCGCATGCTTTCCTGATGAATTTTTTTCTGTGCGCAATTTTCCATAAATTATTAAATTCCGCATAATTATGTCATTCTGCAAGCTAAGCCACATGCCATTCCGCAAACTCTTTCCGTCTTTTACCCTCAATTTCTGGAGGAAACGGAATTTCTTGTGGGGTATTACAAAATTACCAAACAGAAATTCGTGTTTCGCTTCCTACAACATAACCATTATCGTCTTTTGTTTATGGGGGCTGTTTATTGATAAACTGATCATGATTTGTGCAAATGCCAAGGGCCATTCCCGGGGTTAATGCCACTGATTCCTGCACCGCCAGTTCGCTTACCATTTGCCCAAACTATGAACCGACCGGTTTGCCCATGAAACAAACAGTAAACCACCAGTATTTCAGGCAACTTGGATTATAAAGATTAGACTATAAAGTGCACTTTTGTATAAAACTCATGATTTCGTCTGTGGAGTTGTAAAAGTAGTTCTTTTACAGTTTCTGAATGTTCAATGTTCAAAAAATCCATTTTGAGAATTTTACATCCCTTAATTATTTTAGACTATCGCCAATTTTGCTTCAGGTGCTATAATTATTCTTTTAAGGATTCTATTGATCCTAAATTCCTTAGCTACAGGCATTTAAACTGTTCCAGATTTGGCATTTGTAGTAAAAATTTTAACATTAACATTACTATTAATATCTCGAAGCAGAACTATGTTGCTGACTGTTTAGTTTTAAAGAGTCTTCACTGTACGAGAGAGCTTCATCATTGTTGCACTTATATGCCACATAATTAACATTTAGCTATTTTGGCTTAACACATGACGTTTGATAAACAGAGTTTTTAGTTATCTTTTTTAGTTTGCTTGTTTTCTGTATAGCTTAAAAACACGGCCTTAATTTTCCTTATCACAACAGATAAGTCCAGATTGTGATAGAATAAAGCAAAAAAATCTTATCATAGTACTAAAAAAGCCTTTGTCGCATGGAAATTCAGTAGAGACAGCTTCTTGCAAAGTTTCTCTACATGGATTCAGAGTCAATTTCAAGACCTTACAGCTTTACACTGGGGACGATTTCGAGTTCAGTTCCATGAATAGTTATTTAAAAGGCCATCTCTTGATAAATCTTAGAGGGGATACGCTTGCCAGCGATGAGTACAGCCTTGGTTTTACCCTCATTAATTAGTAGTTTCTTGGAAGCTGCCAATCCAACGATTTAAGCAATAGTAGAGTTTAGGGTATCCTGTAGTCTTTCGATTTAGCTTTTAATTAGTTCGTACAGGAAGGTCCCGGGGGCTGACTCCGCATATGAAAGGGGTAGGGATGCTCCTCGTCTCGCTTAGGGGTGTAAATTTCAGCTTTTGGTCTCACTTAGGGTGTTCTAGGCAAAACACCATTATATTTAGCCATAAAAGTCTCTTTAGGGTTGCACTCAAAAAAATATTAAAAAATAATGTATTTTCAATTCGTGTTATTTACTCGATTCGTGTAGTCAAAGTTTAAAATGATCGCTGTTAGGGGTCAAAAAAAGGTTGGGCCACGCTCAGATTGGTCTACTTTAGGGGTTTAATTCAAAATTTTCCGACGAGCATCCCCACCCCCTTTCATATGCGGAGTCCTCCCCGGGAGGAAGGTAACGTTGTATCGTCAATCAATCCGTGATGAAGTAACGTGGAAATGCATGTGAGTCGTTGATGAAGACAATAAACAGAAACGGACCAAGTGTGGACCCCTTGGGAATGCCATGAGAAACAATAGTGACACTTGAGAGAAGAGCAATTGATAACAACAACCGCAACTACTCCGATCAAATGGCGGACTTGGGAAATTCGGAGCTCTCTTCGGCTAACATACATGTTTCTGTGCATAACATCTTCTTTGGGTACGTTTATATGATTATGGGTGATAAAATTCTTTAAAGAGTCGAGGTTCCATTCAAGGAGTTAGCTATTCTAAAACGCCTAAGAAAGACTAAAGATTAATCGAGGTTTAAATAGATCTAGCGAAGAAGAGAAGGTAGTAAAGAATGTTCACTGTCAGTGTATTTAGATCTTTGACACAAGGTAATCTTGTGATTCTTTAACTCGTTTGCGACGCATATATTTCCTTTATGATGGAATGGTTAAACAATATTGCTGGTTCTTTTGGCCCCAATAATTTACTTGTATACTGGTCCGACCATCACACCCACTAAAATAAAAACCCCGGGCGTCTCTGTCCTAACACTTAGCACATGACGACCCTGTGTCACGTGCTGAACAATGGTATGGAGTCTGGTGTGTCCAAAGGTGGAGCTAGTTTTTATCAAAACTCCATTTTCCTCGAACTCGTCTACCCAAACACTGGCGGTTGCCCCATTACTGTGCGTTCGAATGGCTATAGCAACGCTTCTTTTATTTTCACCATTCATCGCATATCGTTTATCCATAGAGGACAATTCAACTAATGGCAGGAATATTTCCAGTTCAAGAATAGAATCCATAGAATTCGCCATCCATCCACTATAAGCATCGGTCCGAAATTTCTGTAAGCCATAGTTAAGAGTCTTGACTGGAGTCACCTGATGGCCCGGTCGATTTATGAATGTCTCGTGCAAAACCTGAAATCCGAATTTTCCGATTACTTTTACTTGAAGTGTTTGATGTAATAACGACGTTTGGGTGGCATCCGGTACAATGCGTGTAAAACAGCGTGGATTGTCAAGAAATTCCACCAGATTCTTAGTAAACACTGGTTTTGGGAGATCACTGAAACTTGGAGAATTACGGTTTAAAACCACATTTTTGCGATTTGAAGGCAAAAGTATATTTGAAAAAGTTCTCTTCTTAGAAATGGTCAAACTGGCAATTACTTCTAAGATTATCTTTCGCACATAATGTATAATCATTAAACCGATTTGTGCGTGAGCCAAAATACTCGGGTGGTTACCATCAGAGGTATACAGTCTTGGATACTTTCTGCCTCTTGATGGACTCGAGCAGAGGAAATTACGGAGAGTTATTAAGGTTATTCCATAATTTTGAGCGAGCATTGTTTGACCGTGATTCTCTAGGTTATTACATACGGGAATTTTTGCTTGTCCTTGAACAAAGTTTACGAAAAGAATGGATGGGGATGTTTTCTCCCCCAAAACTTCTCGAATGAGCTGTTCTAACGGTAAAGCTGTGTGAAATGTGGAACCTGCAAACTGCACGTAATCGTTGACAGTAAAGTCAAAAAGCGCCAGGTCTATGTCAGTGCCTGGGCCTAGTAACGCTCTGTAACAAAAAGTGAAAAAGTTACTGCATGTTCCACCAATAGCCAGGTTATGAATTTTAGCGGAGGAATCCGTAAAAGGTTCTACGGCTTTCTGCCACCAGTCAGCAAAAACGCGGTAGTACACTCCCCTGAGGTCTTCTCTATCGTAGTTTAATCCTCCACCTGCTGAGATTGAACCTCCCATTATAACAATGTTTATATTTTCACCGTTAAGTGATTGTAGGATAGCATTCTTTAAGCTCTTCGCTGTTTTACCTCTAAAGACAATACCATTGTTCCAAAGTCTTGAAAACAATATTTTAACCGCTTGAGAGCGAAAACGGTCTTTGAAAAACCACATGTCGAAAGGATTCCTTTCAACTGAGTGCTTGAGTAGATCGATTTTTTCTTGAGTCATCTGATGTTCATAAGTAGGTGATGTCTTTACTTTGTCATCTAGCTTGCCAAATCCTTTTTCGTTTGTCCTTAACACAGACATACCGTGCACTTTTGATAAGTCTACTCTAAATTCCATCAAGGAAATGATTAGAAAGACCCTCCAAAATATCTGCATCACGATGTTAAAAGGGCCTCTAACCAGCACGCTACTCTGGAAAAGAACTTCACCCCTTACTCGAGAAAATACGTACCGAGATTTTTGTCTGCAGGTTTTGATGCATTCAGTAAAATAGCTCCGATAGACCGAAATACCAAAGTTGATTCATAAGCTCAGCGTGGATTTCACGGCCAGGTAAGACTGTAAGACTTAACATGCTAGTTGTCTGATAAATCAATCACCTGTCATTCTACCTGCTAAGATACTACATCGTTCTTTCAGTTACCTGTTGAAATCAGCTATCTCGAGAGCCTTATAAAATTTAAATAGTCTGCTTGACCGACGTAGTTAATGCTCAGTCTTTTTGGAAATCGCCAAAAATCGATTCGAGCCACCTAAGGCACGGTAAGCAAGAACGTGCAACTTTTTTTGAAGTATTGCTGCAAAACGAGTTGAATAGCTATGTCATGCGTTTTACTAACCACGTTCAAACCTGTCTTGCAACACTTCAGCTTGTGGCAAGTTGCGCAAATTTGTTGCAGAAAGTAGAGTAGTTCTACTATTTGCAACAAATTTTGTACATGTTGCGCGTTTTCCCGGTCCTAAACAAACTTGTTTTGTATGACGTGACTCCCGCGTATTATTCAGTTAGAAGTCAGTATTCAAGCAGAATGCAACGGCCTCATTTGTTGTAAGACGGGTTTGTTTCGTAGTTGGTAAAACGCGCAAAGTCGTTATATTTCATCTCGTTTTGCAGCAAAGCTGCAAAACAAGCTAGGGGCGTAGCCAGCCTCTAGGCCCGTAGGCCCGGGCCTACACGTTTTTTCCACTCGCTTGACTTTTCACGGTAATATGACCCAATAGTAAATTTTGGAAGACACTTAAAATTTCTACAAAATACTTTCGAGTCTGTAAATAAAAAAGAAGCAGCAAAATTAAATCCCAGGCTCCTAGCGTTAAAGAACCATTGGATTGTAAGGAACATGATGCCCACCCTACAGTAAATTACATTTTAATCTTCTTTCTCAGCTAAGCTGCAGCACCAATTTCAGGAGACGTTAAAAGAAACGTCTGAAAGCCAAGAGCAAATGGGAAAACGAACTAAGGTGAGAAAAATTGGCCAGACTCGTTGGGGCGCAAGAGCTGACGCTTTGTGTACTTATAAGTTATCATTTGACGTAATCTTAAAGGCTTTAGAAGTGCTTGACAATATGCAAGATTCAGAAGCAAGGGGATTTATCAATAGCGTGCTCAAGTTCGAGTTTATAATTGCATTAATTGACTGTGAATGGTTGCTACAATTTATTGTGCCTCTTACCAACTATCTTCAAGGGGGTGACCTAAACCTACTCCAAGTACACACGCAGGCCAAAGTGGTCATCTAATCACTTCGCAGTGAGCGTAACGACGAGTCCTGGATTGAGCTGAATCAAATGACAGTATTTTTTGCGGCACAGCATGACGTCCCAGTTTGTAAACCTAGACTAGCTGGCCGACAGTTGAATCACAGGTAGCCCAAGCTCGAAATATGAGCATCGGCGAGCATCGGCATTGTTGCGTAACATTCAAAATATAAGGATTTGTATGGGAAAAAAACCTATCGTTTCTGTAACTGTAGAATGAAAGGATTTCAATAAAAAACAGCTTACCTTACTTAAAATGTGTGTTACGTCTCTCCTGTGTGGTCCACGGGCCGATTTATAGCCGTTTTATGGTTTTTTATGTAAACGGTTTTCTCTCTCTGCGGAAGACGTCGTTGACGATTTTGCAGCATCCGGAAACAGGAGGATGGAACTTCTTTTTTAGCTATTTGGGTGTCGTTGGAGAAAGGCGCTTTTTTATTGCGGTACTGTGATCAATATCTTGAAGTTTAGATACACACTCCAGATTCAACTAATTATGCATACAATTAACAGTCTTAAGGGTCTGATCTGTCTACTGTATTACCGGGTCACCTTAGGGATGGGCCTACAAAAAGTCAAAAAGCTGGCTACGCCCCTGCATACTGCACGTTTTTTGGCCCGTTTAGCCTCATTTTAAGCGTCATCTTTGGCGGGATACTTCCAACCACTTTAATGACCAGCTCTCAGTTGGTTTGCTAGTCCAATTGGTTAAAGCCCTTCACCCGAACCTGGCCTGGCCTGGCATGCCTGAATTTTTTTTATCAATATGAGTTGACTTGGCGGCAAACTTCCAGCTAGACCATTTTCATTTTTTGAGCTTCTTCGCAGAAGACGTCAGGTGGGAAAGACGTCTGAGTAGTCCAACAGCTGCTGTAAACGCAGCATAATTTTAGTCTCAGAATTAAAAGCGAATGACAACAAATGACGTTAGACAACTGAGTATGATTTGAAAAAAAATCGTCTTACCCATTGTTGACAACCTCAGCCACTTTTCTAGTCCATGAAAGGTCATGGGGAGTTGTAATGCCGAGGTCTTTTACGGAACCCGCTGAATGTTGTTGTTTTCAATGCGCTACTAATGTATATTTATACCAGACTTGCTTTGGGTGTGTGTCACACGCATAACTTCACATTTGTTCACATAAAAGTTTAGTTGCCAGATCTCAGACTAATACCATTAAGGCGAAACATTCGTAGGAATGAGGAATACTTATATCGGATATTTTTCGGTAAATCTTGTTGTCATCTGCGCACATCGTTTTCAGATATGATGAACAAAACAGGTCCGCGAGAATCGTTCCCTGGGGTATTCCTGACAAAACAGGAGCCCAAGACGAGCAGGTACCACGCAGGACGACTCGTTACATGCGGCCAGACAAATTACCAAACCCATGCACTGAAGCAGCCGTGACGCTCTAGTTTAAAAAGAGGGCGCTCGTACTGTACACTATCAAACACTTTAGAAAAGTCTAAGAAGGCATTGTTGGTTAGCTTCCTGTTGTCATGCGATTTTGCCCAATCGTCGTAGCAGGAAATAAGCTCAGAACGTGTGGATCAGCCAGCCATGTAAGAGGTATGTAAGCGAACTTGTTCAGATCTAGAATATTGATGTTTTAGCCAGCTTTCACACTACAGATGTGACACTAGACTACGAGTAGTCCCCCATTTTTCCTCAGGGATAGCAGGGCGAGCGAAACGAGAGCGCGCGTGAAAATCACCCCACGCGAGAAAAGGTGACACGCGGCAGGGAGAGAGGAAAATGAGGGACTACAGACAAAGCCCAAGCTTTTGAACTAATGTGTTGCTATCACAACTATAACTCTGATTGGCTCTTCCATGGAAATCTGTCAACATCTGTCAAAAACGCGCCAGCCGCTATCAACACTCGACATGATCACAATTTACAGAACGAATAACTAGAGCAGAACAAATAACAGCACAGAACAAATAACTAGAGTTGCTCTTGTAGAAGCAACTAAGAAGAGAGCCAAACCGGCAACTGATGAGGTTCGCGTGGAGAACCTAAACCATGGTCTTTCCTGATCACAAAGTGAGAATAACAGAACAGTCGCAATTTATCACCAAGGGAGGAACGACGTGCTCCAGTCCAAAGACTCACATTATCTCCAGAAAAACAAGCGGCAGTCAAAATTCATGAGCAGTCATGACTGCGTCACATCGCAATTCTCCATAGTTAATATAGCTTTAGTTTAAGCTGCAATCCATTCTTCGAGATTTGGATATCACTATCCGTCCTGCTAAAAACGCTAACGAGCTGGGCCCAGCGTGACAAGACATTGTAGGAAACCGTCACATTCACGGCCAAAAAGAAAATCGCTTAAAATTATTCAGATCCAGGAGGCAATCGCCAGAGAAATTAAACAACCCAAAACCCTTATTTGGCCGCATTGAAGAGCTTTACTTTTCAAAAGAGGTCAAAGAAAACGCTCTTACATCAGAGGGCAAATCATGCCGACCATAAACAATAACCGTAGAAAATTAATATGCGTGTCACCACAGGGAGCCCGCACAATCTGTTTGTGTAGCCGATTGTTATTTTATAGTAAATGTTCTGCAGTTACCGTTTGCCTCACCTATAGCGATATGTCGCAAACTATGTATATAAATCAATGATAAATAAACGTTGAATTACCTTACCTGTGGTATATAGTCGTCCTTTTACCTCAAAAGCGGTTTTTTGAGCGATTTTGAGGGAGTTTGAATTCGCCGTTGACTGTTCCTTATAATAGAAGCCAAAACGCTAAATATCTTCAATGTTTACTCAAGTTTGGGCTTATAGAAGATAATGTCACAGTTTTTCAATGATCATGAAATTCAGAGTCCCGGTAGTTAGTTAATCAATTGTAGCCCCTGAAAAAATTTGAAGGAAAAAAGCTACGAATTTTTTAGAAAATGCTTTTTTCGTGAGAAGGACTCTTAAACGCTGACAAACGTCAACAAATAGCGAAAACTATAATTTCTATATGTTTGCTTTGCTCGAAATCGCGCGCATTTACAAGGCCCTAAAGCGTTTTGCTGACTTGCAAGGACCCATCTGTTATAACGATGCCCAAAATAAAGGGATGAATCTCATAGTTTATTAGATATAATCGTGTAAAGTTTTCAAATCATTTTCGCATAAACTATGACCTAAATTTGGAAACCACTGAATTTCTTGAATTGGGTCTTTGCGATTTTGGTGAAACTCTGTTCAGCTCAAGGCACTAATGCGCACTATGTGTAGCCGAGAGATTTTCACGAAAAAATGCCGGCAACAGCAGATTTTGGACTCAGACCTCGAAGGGGCGTGGCATTATAACCACGTGACATTTACTCCGATCGCCAAAAATTTTATGTTATATTGTAGATTGATCTATGTTATCCATTCTATGTGTTAGACTTACGATAAAAGTAAAGGAGGGGATACCAGAGAGCTTCAAAGTAGGATGGTACCCTCCCCCCCAAAAAAAAAACTGGGTCGAGTCACCTTAAAATATCACCGCATCCCACCGCAGTTTATGCATAAGACATCATCGTCGTTAATGTTTCCACCGCAAGTTAATGAGATTCCACCGCAAAAAAGACGCCTAACCGGTGCAACCTATACTACTCCTTATTTTGCAATGTTTAAACTGCAATGTTGCAATGTTTAAAGACTCACTCTCAATCGTAGTTTCTTGGTGTTACGGACGAAGACAGTTAACAATGCCCACCTCACAACACAAAAGAGCACCAACAATGGTTTCTGAAACACTAAGAAACAACCCCATTGAAGGATCATTGAGGTAAGCCTCCAACATTTGCATTGATCAGCGTTAACCCTCTCTTTCTAACTGCTTATCCCTCTGCATGAAAGACCCAACTGTGATCATCAAGAACGTTCTCTGCCTAGCACAAGTGTTCAAACTTCTGTTATTGGCTGATGAATTTTTGCCAAAAGAGACACGTATGTTTTTGAGCCATCCCCTCTTGCCCTTCCTCTTTTCCCATATATCTTTCCTCCTAAGGTGTTCCTTCTGTTAGCCACTTTAGCTTCCTCGCAAGCACGTTACGAGAAAAGAGGTCGAGGAATTTTTGCTAATGCATAACGGAGGATCAATTTAAATAATGGCATTAGAGTTAGGCAAGATATGAAAGTCAATCAAAGAAGGAGAAACGTTAATAATTATGAGGTTGGTCCGTTTTGCCCGAGCTGGCTCGACCTGATGATGATAAGGCTGGTTCGTTTGGCTTTTGATTCCTCTTTGATCTGAATGCTTGAGTGTGGGAGAGAGGTTTATAAAAAATCTTAAATAGTCCATTTGCACGATGGCGTCATTTTACTACTACAACCAGAATCCTTTTCTTTTTTCCTTTCATATTTAAATTTTGTAATCCCAGTGAGGTTTAAATAACCAAAGCCCTAATTTGCACAAGAAAGCAAAACCCTGAAAGATTCTGGTTGTAGTAGTAAAATGATGTCATCGTGCAAATGGCTTATTAAAGATACGTGTCTCACAACTAAACAAAGTTGAGCTAGGGACCAATGGCAAATATCCTGCCGTGAAGACTTTTATTTCTTTCTTTCTTTTCCTTTTCAAAGAATATTCCGAATTATTTTGGCCGCCGAATGTCGCCAAATAGTAAGCTCACGTGAAAATTTTTCCACTGAGTCAGGTTAGGACACCTTCGGAAAAAACTTTCACTTGTATACTGGACCAATCATTACACCCACTAAAGTAAAAACCCCAGCTGTCGTCGTCCTCACGCTAAGAACGTGACGACCCTGTGTTGCGTGCTGGACGATGGTATGAAGTTTGGTGTGTCCATACATAGAGCTAGTGTTTATTAAAACTCCATTTTCCTCAAACTCGTCTATCCACACCCTGGCGTTTGCCCCATTATTGTGAGTCCGTACGGCTATAGCAACACTTCTTGTGGGCTCCTCCATAATCATAAATCGTTTATCCATAGGGGACAATTTAACTAATGGGAGGAATATTTCCAGTTCAAGAAGAGAACCCATAGAATTCGCCTTCCACCCTCTATAAGCATCCGTCCGAAATTTCTGGAAGCCGTCGTTAAGAGTCATGACTGGATTCACCTGGCCAGGTTGGTTTATGAATGTCTTCGGCAAAACTTGAAATCCGAAGTTCCCGATTTCTCTTACCTGCAATGTTTGATGTAATGACGAATTTTTCGTAGCATCGGGTAATATTTGCGTAAAACAGCGTGGTTTGTCAAGAAACTCTCTCAGATTCTTCCTAAACACTGGTTTTGGGAGGTCACCCAGGCTGGTGGAAAAATTGTTAAAAACTATGCTCTTTTGCTTTGAAATAGCTATAGTGTCAATTACTTCTAGAATTGTCTTTCGAACATAATTTATGATCAATAAAGCGACCTGAGCATGAGACAGAATACTAGGGTGGTTCCCGTCAGAAGCAAACATTCTTGGATAGTTTTTTCCATTTGATGGATTCAAGCAGAAAAATTTGCGGAGAGTTATTGAGGTTATTCCATAGTTTTGAGCGAGAACTGTTTGACCGTGATTCTCTAAGTTATTGCAGGTAGGACTTTTTGAAACCCCTCTTACAAAGTCAATGAAAAAAATTGGTGGAGACTTCTTTTCGCTAAGAACTTCTCGGATGAGTTGTTCCAATGGTAAGGCTGTGGGAAATTTGGAACCTGAAAACTGGAGATAATCGTTGACTGTAAAGTCAAGAAACGCCAAGTCTATATCAGTGCCTGGATTTAGCAAAGTTCTGTAGCAAAAAGCGAAAAAGTTACTTCCTGTTCCGCCTACAGCCAAGTTATGAAGTTTGATGGAAGAACCCGTTAAAGGTTGGATGGCTTTTTGCCACCAGTCAGCAAAAACGCGATAGTACACTCCCCTGAGGTCTTCTCTGTCATAGTTTAATCCTCCACCTGCTGAGATTGAACCTCCCATTATAACAGTATCTATATTTTCACCTTGTAGTGATCGCCGGATGACATTCTTTAGACTTCTTGTTGTTTGACCTCGCGAGACGATACTACTGTTCCAAAAGAGTGAAAACGTCTGTTGATCCTGTTCAGATCGAAATCGGTCTTTGAAAAACCATATGTCAAGAGGATTTCTTTCAACTGAGCGCTTGATTAGATCGATTTTCCTTTTGGTTATCTCATACTGCTCAAGAGGCGTTGACTGTTTTCCTTGATCATTTAGATGGCCAAAATGCTGTAGCTCGGCTTTCCCTTTCCTTTTCACAGACATACCATTCACTTCTAACCAATTTGAACAAGATCCAAACAAGAGTATAGGAAAATAAGCGTTCCAAAGAAACCACATGGTGATTTTTAACGAATACAGTGCAGGCTTTGAACCTGGTTGACTTGTCATTTATAAAGAGGAAAATGTGTGAAGCATTTGTCAGCATCAATCACGGCGAGATAGAGAGAAATGCGTTTATAAGCCTGACGTGAATTTTCAAAGATGGATTTGATTGTTAACAAGGTTTATAATTGATCACCTCTTATCACGTACCTGCTAAAGCTCCAACTGGTACTGGATTAAAGCGACTTGCTTTCCATTTAGAACTTTCAGCAGTGTAATCTACTTTAAAACAAATAAAGAGGAAGGTTTGTAATTGCAGGCTTTGATGATTAAACGATAATAATTATTCAGACTCGACAGCTTCACGAAGTATTTGAGCTAGGGGCAGGTGAGTATGTCACCGTTGGGATATTCTTTATAAGCCATTCTTGAGACCCTCTTACGGGGGTATGTATGCCCTTAGGCTGAATTTCGAACACGGTGGTTTCGTGTTTTGAAGCCGAGTGGGTTGTGACTCTTCCCTGTTGTTATTTGACCCATCTGTATGTCGTTTTGTGCCATTTCATCTAGTCTTACGTCTCTGTTTCAAGGCCATGTAACTTGTTAGAATCAGATTTTAACCAGCAGGGACTCATTCTTTAATAACAACGACTGAAACGGACATTCATTCAGTTACTTTAAATCAAACATTGATCATCGTTTCTTAATTTCAAGCATAAGACCAAAAAATTGTCTGACCGATTATAAACCTGTGGGATCGTTGATCGGATTCCATAAATTATCAGCGCATGGATTTATTTAGCAGGTATATCATTACCTCAAAATCTGACTCTAGCACTGGAAAATTTGTTAGGTCCTTTAACCTTTCGCAAGTTTGGTTATTGACCAAACTTTGATGTCCGGCCGGACCAAGCTATTCTAGGATCCTCAGAAATGAGTCTGACATGAGTGAGCCTTTAAAAAGACACTGTTTTATGGACCTTTATGGAGCCGACTGTTCTGAAGTATATTCACAGATTATGTGAGGGCTGCTTGTAGCCTGTATTATAATGTAGATTACACAAAGATAAAGGACACGACGAGAGTGCGTTCGATGTTTCGATGATTCGATGATTCGATGTTTGTTTGGCGTACAGGCGGGTAAATGAGTTGAGCGGGAAGACTGGATGGTTCTTGCGATAGATAAATATGACTATGGCATATTTTGACGTAATTAAACTGTGTATCATTATAAGAAGATTTTGAAAAGATGTCGTATGGTTCGGTGTCAAGTGCTTGTAATCGGAGGAGACAGTGGCCAGAGTGCGTCGCGCGTGTAAATAGAACATTTTAACTTTTGTTTTACTTGAGCGATTACAGGGCGCAGTTGTTCAAAGGCCGATTAGCGCTTAACCCGGGATTCTTTTTCGTTTTCAAAAACATTGCTTCGGATAATTTCTCTGTTATTATTAAGAGCATCCAATCATCAACTTGTTGACAAAAAGAATTAAACTGAATTTACCTTTTTAAAAGCTTTCACATCTGAATTCAAATTTCGCACTATTAAATCCTGTCAAAGCCTTCAGTGGAATGTGTGTGCGGCTCACGTCAATAACTTTTCCAGTAATTTGGTCGAGCGTGTTGATTCCAGTGACTCGAGAGTGGCGCTACTGTTGGCTGGTTTATAAGTTTTTCCTAATAAATAAGATAGAGTTGAAGTGTTCGTTTGTATGGTGCCGAAAATATCACCAGTCATGATCAAATGGCGCCGCCGAGCTTCACACCCCGGTAGATTTACTTTGTGGCACAACGACTCCCGAGCTACACAAACTCGTTTTATTTATTTTGTGACACAACGGCCGCCGAGCTACACAACTCGGTAAATTTACTCTGTGGCCTGACAACGGCTGCCGAGCTACACAATTCAGTAGATTTACTTTGTGACACAAAGGCAGCCGAACTAAACCCGGTTTGATGCTTGCACCAGGAATCGCACACATTTTCCAAAGACAGTGGCGAACCACGCTAAAAAATATGAAGGCTTAATCCAAAGTAAAATTTAACAGCAAACTTCTGAAAGGTGAACGCTTTGGACGATTCAGCAAACACAGATCGATGTACGCTTTACGAAGATTCAGCAAACTTTTTAAAAGATGAACGCTTTACGACGACAGAATATCAGACCTCAGTAAACCTTTGAAAGATGAACGCCGAGGACACACGAAACACCACGTGAGTTAGCGCGTCAAAGTGAGACAAAACGTAAGCAAGCACTTCAGAGTGAGGCAAAAGTGTCGACGACGACGAAAATGCAATCTAAAAATAACCTCCCTTATTAATTGCACAGGACCCCCAGTAAGGCACATAACACCCAACACAAATTAGGGGTTGCGTTCTCGTACCTCGAACGCAAAACGCCATAACAGACTCCCTCCCTCCCGCCTCAAGTTTGGCTCATTTTGTTGTAGTTGTTTGTTGTTTGTCTTGAAGAGCCGCTCATAAAAAAATGGCGCCGAACAGAGGGACCGCTGGCAGAGTGATAACAATTATTAAGATTTCTCCCTAACCGTTGTATGGAAGTTTTTTGCTGGTTAGTCTTATTAAGGTCGGCCAAGAGAGAATGATTGGGTCGGCAAAGGTATCCGCCTTGTTCCCACGGCTTTAATTTTTCTCCCAAGAAAATGGGAAAAAGCCCTGGGAAAGAGGTTTGCAAAAGAATACATTTTACTCGTCGAAGGTTGAGACTCTTAGTTGGAAGATATGGAGTGTTGAGCGTTCTATAAATTTGTATCTTCGAGTGCTGAAAGTATCTCTCACGAGTGAGCGTAAAATAATTAACTTTCCAGCACATTAACATTTTAATAGGAAGTTTACTGACACCTGTATAATCCTTTGTAGGAGATGACAGGCTTTCGGAGACATTTTTCGAAAACATTTTGTGTAGTTGACAGTTTCATTTTGGTTTAAGCATTGCTTGTAGAGTGCCTAGCCTGCGAGAACATCCGTTTCTCCTCGCTCTTCGCCGTTGGGGACGTTTCACGGGCCCTTCTCTGTGACTAACTATGGCTCAAGACAACCTTTGCTGGGCGAAAAAAAAAAAAAAAAAAAAGAAATACGGCAAGCTTAAAGAATATTTATTAGATCAATAATTCCAACAAGCTTTTTACATTTCATGGCCTTTGCCAACCACGCTGTTTCGTTTTCGGCGGAAAAGAAAGTATTTTATTTCAGCTAATATGAATAGAAAGGAAATGGTGTATTCAAATTAGAGCATCATATTGTGAAACACATGAAGAATTTTCTTTCCTCTAAACGACTGGATGGACTCAAACTCTTTCGAAGAATTACAAAAAAGGCAGGAAAGCAAGACAGACGAAATCTTGACCAATTAACAAAACAGCAAGTTTGTTTCAGCTTTGTCGGTTGAATATCTTGGTCAAGTATCTACGCAATTTCCTGTTTTGCCGTCTGACGAGGAAGTATTTACAAGTTTGAGGCATTATTCAGCAAGTTCCTATATATTGAAAGTTAATTCTGTTTGTTTTTTCGTTAACATTATACAATGGCATCATGCATCGGCAACATGATCATCAACGGTTACTTATCCTATACCGCTATCGCATTGAACATTACCACAATACTTGCTCTTCGAAAAACAGCCTCGTTACCAAAGCCACTAAAGACTTTACTGCTGAGTCTGGCTATTTCTGATCTTAGTGTCGGTTTAGTGCTACAACCGTGGTACGTTAAAATTCTTTCCACGCTGATGGGCAGTGAAAAAACTCCAAACCTTCAGACTACATTTAAAGAGTTTCTCTCTACAGCATGGTTTCTATGCAGTGTTTCTTTCCTTGGTGTTGTAGCTATAAGTGTAGATCGGTTCTTGGCTATTCATCTTCACCTCAGGTACCAGGAATTTGTGACTCGTAGGCGAGCTGTTGCTCTGGTGATCTTTGTATGGGTTATGAGCGCGTTTTTGACAACTCTGGTTGACTCTGTGCTAAAGCAAAATGGAGCGGTTGTTTACATAAGTATAGAAGCTCTTTCTCTTATTACTACGGCGCTGTTTTATTATCAAATATATATCGTGGTAAAACGCCAGACGAATCAAATGCAAAACCTTCGTATACAACAGGAACAGACAGAAAACATTGCAAATGCGGCAAGATTGCGGAAGTCTGCTCTTGGCACATTCTGGGTATATGTGGTGTTTTTAGCTTGTTACTTGCCAGATATTATTATACATACAGCCATCCTAAGTGCCGATAAAAACTCGGCACTGTTGAATAATCTGCATCTGTGGGCGTTGACTTTGGTGTTTTTTCATTCCTCTATCAATCCTCTGATTTACTGCTGGAACATGAGGCACATTCAATACACCATCTTGGACATAATTCGCACTATATCTTTTTCTCTAGGTGTTAAAGTCAAGTAGATAAGAATTAAAAACTATGAGTACTCCGGCCGTAAAAAGGCCCAAATTTATCCAAGTTCGATCTTTTGCCGGCGTTTGATTTTCAATTATTCTTTTCCTTCTTCAAAACAATAAAGCCTCAGCTCATAGAGCAAAATCTTTTTATGAAAGAAACAGTGTGACAAAAATATTTACTGATTCCATTGAGAATTGTGTGCGAACTAAAAATATATCAAGAAAGGAAATATTTGTTAGTTTATGAGCACACTGAACTGTCAGCAGAAGAATATTAGATGTCATTGGATATCACACGATCAGGAAGCACTGGAACGAGCGAGATGAGATCGTCAGATCAACAGAAGATGAGAGCTGAGAGAGATTTAAAGTCACGTTTACGGCAAACGGTCGACTTGAATTTATACCACTGAAAAAGTTTTTCCTTTGCTTGTCGTTTGCTGTTCATTTCTTTTACTAAAAAAACTCAGTAGTTCCACGCCATTTTTTCCATAAGAATTGTTTTGATCTGTTTAATTATCGGCTCATTTTCTATTTTTAGAGTTTCTCAACTTCATGCAACTTGAATCTGAGGTTTGCCGTTTGCCGTAAACGTGACCCTAAATTTGTCTAATGAATCCTTCTTCCGCTCTTGGCCTCATTAGATTCAACCAACAAATGCTTCAGAAACCTTTTTATGCCGGGTCAATTGCGCGTTTACGATTCACTGTTAAGATGGATAGACATGACAAGACGTCACGTGGAGAAAAAGGCGAGCGAAGCCAGACGACGGGTTGGTGTTGAAAAAGACACGGCACTTTCATTTTCACTGAATTAAAATAACTTGTAATTGTCTTTGTCTGGATCAGTGAAAACGCCATGGCAGGACCAATGAAAGTACCATATCTTTCTGTGATAAAACTTATCAGGGGTCATGGGTTTGAATTCCCTTTCAAACGTCTGCCACGCAGGCTAATTCTTTAATTTTGAAGCCTGAATATTTTTTCAGACTTCAGACTTCTCAGAACGTTTCGCAGCTGTTAATCTGCGTTCAGAACTAAAACGATCTGTCACGTGATAAAGAATTGAGAGTGATGAGCCAATAATGAGACTGCAAAGTGAGTGACTGGAATACTGTAAATAATTTAACAGATTGAACCGGAAATTAAATGTAATGAACGAACTGAATAAATTGAATGGAATTGAATGAAACCGAATGAATGATTATTGAATGCTGAGCTCAAATCAGGTTTACAGTATTTGTATCAGTTTCCTGACAGAAAAAAGGGTGGACCCTGTTGCTGCGACCTATTTTAGTTTTAGCCATTTCATTGAAACCTGGTAACAGGGTGGAAACTCTTATTCACTATATGCTTTAATGAGGCAAACTAAAAATGACTTAGAACAGGGTCTTGTTAAACACTGGTTAAACTCCGTTTAAATAACCGGTCCTCTCTATTCATCTCAAGAACGCATCAAAAGTGACGTTTTCATGATTGGTTAGACCAAGATTTTTAAACCTCTTTCCTATTGGTTCGCGAAAGCTTTGTTGTCTTTTTACCTCTAAATTTAGAACACCCCTATTGGCTGGACGGATCTGCAAAGCCTTTTGGCCCATTTGAATGCTTTATTTTGGATACTGGACATTAGTTCCCTGAATGTTAACATATTAAAATGGGAATACGTTCCCAAAGCTAGCCCTTGACTAGCTTAGCAGCAATATTTCTGCATCAAACTGTCACCTCATTCGCAGTCAAAATAAAGAGAGTGAGCGAACGGGGTTGTCCAATATAACCGCATGGTAATCTGTGTTGTATGGGGTCTTTGACTCTTTTACAGACCGTCCGTATGGCAATGCCTTTCTTTTTATCACTTACCTGAAACCTTTTGCCATTAAATTGTCTGTATAAACCATGTTACGATCCGTCCGATCCGTACCGGATCGTGTGCTTAAAACCACTTTTAGCTCAACTGTACCTAAAAACGGAGAAGTGTATACACCTGAAACTTCTTGTATGAAGGAACCTCTCTTCATATTAAGAATATTTGAATAAAACAGCTCTGTAATCGTAAGGTTCGAGATTTTCCTATGGCTTTACGGGCCCGAAAAGTTTCCTGCTCTTTCGAGAAACGGGCCCCTAGCCCCCACAAATTTTTCTTGGACATCACATGAATCCATACATAACGTGCCTTCCAAACGGCGCGAATTTAAACATGGCGGACGAAGGAAGTGTTGTTGCTTCGGCTTGTGCGACTTCCAAATCTATCCCTCAATCTATGATCGATAATGTGCTAGCAGTGTGTCCTGATGTTGATCCCAAGGATGTTGCCAAGGATCTAGTTATCACTGGAAGTGCTACACGAACAATCAACAGGATTTTAGATGGACAGGTATGTGTAAACAAACGCGCTGCTTACATTTTCATGCTTCGTCACTCGTTACTCTTTCTTAGGCCATACGAAAAATCAGAGTGATTTTCAGAAATACCCGTTCCACGTGAAATGGCACAATGACGCAGGCAAGCTAATCTGAAGACATACTTGTACATATCAGCACACTGATTTTAAATCCCTCTGTTAAATCCCACTTATCAAGTGGTTTTGCCCGATATGTTTATTTCATGAAACCACAAAAACAAACAAACAAACAAACAGGCAATAACAAAAATGGTTGAGTTTTGTTTTGACCTTTTTAAAAGATGGTGTTGTGGTAGGGAAGACAGTATCATTGATAAACAATGTACATATCATGATGTTGTGGTTCAATTCTGTCCTTGGTTTAAATTCTATTTTCTTTCGTTTTTGGGTAGGGTAATATATGATAATGAGTTTGAAACAAAGGGAAATATAATTTCAACCAAGGATAAAATTGAACCACAACATATATGAATGGACTGATCTTTCTTTCTTCTTTTCTTCCATACTTTCTAGTTTCCAGCAGCAGTTAATGTTGATTTTGAAAGCATGCCATCAGAGATCAGTTCTGAGGATGAAGTTAGAGGACCATATAAAGTCACTTCACCTCATTCCAAGAATTTATCAGTGTCTGCTAATAAAGTCTTGCCAGTTATAAATCATGATGATAACTCTAGTGACACTGAAAAATATACCGATACAGATGATGATGATGATGATATTACAATACTTAATGAAGAGTCAAAAAGTTTGTTCAGTGCTCTTAAGAAGAGAATGCACAGTACAAAACAATCAGAACACAAGTATGCAAAACAAACAAAAACCCTGGACTTGCACAAGGACAACAGAATTATTAATAACAATTATGAATTGGAGAGCAGTCCACAGAAACGACCTATAAATACTAAGAGGACAAGCTCCATTGTTGATCTTTCATTCTCAGATGATGACAGTAGCTTTGAAAAGATTAGCCATAAAGAGCACTCACCTCTTGCAATGAATAGAACTGCAAATTGTGCTATGAAAGTACCAACTGGAGCCAGTCATAGAATCAAGAGTGTTAATAAACTTAGAAATGGCTCAAAACAGGGGACAAATGGTTTGGATTCACGTCTGCATGGATCTGACAATGACACTGATAGCTGTGAAGGAAGTGATGGGTTTCCTTGCATTCTAGCATCATCCAGGCTTCTCTATAGTGAAACAACCAGCAGATCTGCCACAGCAGGTCTCACCTCAGGAAGCTGTTTGGACTCTCAAGATAGTTCTGGAATACCTTTTAAAAGAAAGAAGAGATCAAAAGAGGAAATAATGAGTCAGAGAAATGAAGCTTTGGTAAGTAGCTAGGGAAGTGTATGAACTCAATATCAAAACAGGACACCGTGTACCTTTGTTATTTCGGCAATAATTTCTTTTGTTGGAAGAATGCCATAACTCGCCTGTTTCAGGTGTTCTGATAGTAGAACATGAGTGAAAAATTGACAAAGAAAAAAAAAAACGAGAGGAGACAGGGCTGTCACTAAGATTTCAAGTTACCAAGTATTTACAATTAGCAGTTGGGGAACTGAACAGCCAGGGATTTCTTTTGGTGCCATTTTCATTTTTTTCTTTCCTACAAAAATAGCAGGGGGTCGTGCTCATGATAGCCGGGGGATATCCCCCACCCCCAGCCCTTAGTGACAGCCCTGGGAGGCCAGTCTTCCCTCAGTTTTTTCCCCTTGTTTTTCCCTTGTACGATTTAACTCCCCACCATCTGAATACTGTTCTCTACTATCTGAATGCCTGGAACTGGCTATGCCATTACTGGCAAGTGCTGTTATAATAATTCAAGGGATACCTTATCAGATACATGCATAAATAAATGTCAAATTTGTTGCATAATCCTATGTGTACTTTCCTCTATTAAATTTAAGGTAAAATACATCTTTTGACATTTTGAAATACACAGAAGTTAATCATATTAAGCTCTTTTGTGTGTAAGTTTGATTATCAATGGAAAAGGGTTGGATTGTAATGTTTTGCAGCGAAAGAAACAAGCCAAGGAACTGGAGCGACAAGCAAAGAAGGAAGCTAAAGAGAGAGAAAAACAGGAAAGGCAGCAAGCTAAAGAACTAATGAAAACACAGAAGGAAAGGGAAAAGCTTTTGAAGAAGGTTTGTTTACTTGTTCACTGACAAGAAGAATGTGTATCATTGTTTGCTCAGTGTGTCTTGAAAAATAAGAGATAAAAAACAAAGAAAAACTTGACTGGGTCTTATACTGAACTTATTGCACTTTTCTCAGGACTCGTGTGTAAGATGATAAATCACCAATTGAAAGTGAGGTTGTGCAATTTCCAAATCATCCGCTTATTTGATATTCAAGTATCCAAAGAGGAGTTTTTGCATTCTGAATGTGTGAACTAAAAAGTGACTGAGTGTGCAACATTTTTGTTCTCTTGTCATCCAGGCAGACAGTATGAATAAGAAAATGAACAATCGCTTGGACAACTGCATCCAGGTATGAGTATTAGGTTTCATGAGTGTTAAATTTTGCGATTTTCCCAAATTGCAAAAAATCAAGAAATTTAATACTCTCAAAATTATGGTGTAAGTTAGAATAATGTATTTTAAGACCCTGAGTGTTGGCCTGGCCAAAGAGAATTACACCTGCAGTCTCCAGCTCTGCAGATTGCTAGTCTGAAAACTACATCTTAGTGACTGTCTTTTTTGTCACAGTGTTAATTAATGTCTGTAAATTCACCTTATTATTTCTTTTGCATATTTATTTTTAACAGAGGTGATCTTTAGTCAGAACTCAGATTCACGATGGTTAAATTTAATGAAGATTTTTAAGCCACGCAAATGTGGAGAATAACAGTACAATGTACCAAGTAGATATTCAAGTTTCACACCAGTATGTTTAGCGCAACTGTACCATGGGTCTGTTTGTTTGAGCGTATCCCAGAATAGATTGAATAAATTGTAGATATCACATGTTTAGGTTTTTGTTACAAAGCATCATAACTTCTGCAATTCTGGTAGAAATACAGTATTAAGATGCGTGTAGCATTCCATTGGTCCAAAAGTCCCAGTAAAAGAGATTTGTATCAGATTTATTGTGTTTTCGCATTCTGGAATATGAATCAAACACACACCATAAACCACTTTATGGCCAGCCAAGCCACACCAAACCAAGGTCCTGCTCTCCAACTGATCCACTGTGTACCTGTACAATTGTTAATAATGAATTAAATGATCATGTATTCCATTTCAAATACAGCAAATAAAGGTGTACATTGATCCTGAAATTGTAAATGGAGGCCAGCTGCCTGAAGAAAGCCTTCTCCTTCAAAAGCTAGAGTCATTTGGGGCACGTCACAAGGTAGAATCACAGCTGATTCCTGCTAGTATCACTTGGAAGAGAGCTGTGGTGGAGCATGATGTAGCAGACACACTTCAGGTAAAGCTTATCAAACACACTCTTGTTTCGTCCTTTACAAACTACCACAAATTCTTATTCTTTCCATGAACTATAAAAGAATGGAACAACCTGTCGCAAAACATGGTTGAGTTGACATCACTGGCCTCTTTCAAGGCCCAGTTGGCTAAACATTTTTGAAACTGACAAATATATATATTTTATGGGACTTTGAAATGTTTTTTATGGAAACCCTGACCACTTGGAAGAATCATCTCTAAACATATAGATGGAGCCAAGTAATGGAAGAGGAAGAAGAGTATAAGTTAGGAAATGAAAAGAAAATGTAAATACGTCTTCCAAATTTGGATATTGGATACGAAAATTGTCTTTTATCCCAGCAAGAATCAACATTCTGTTTAATCCATTTCAGATCTCAACCAAGACTAGTTTTGTAGATGAGAAGCATCTTCTTGTTCGTCTGACTGCAGACAAGTTTGTTGAGATGGTTTTCCACTTTCGCGAGGTTAGAATACAAATATTACGTTATTCTGTGTTGTGCTCAAAACCGTTTGATTTTGAAATTTGTGTTTATTTTTTTACAGTAATAATCAGAACTCAGTAAAACATTCTTAATCTTATTGATCTTTCAGGAGATGCAAAATCCTGCGATATCTGTAATCGCAGATGACGAAACTCTGAGAGCATTTTGTGAAAGAACTCTTGTGATTTATCCAGGAAGAGTGGTTACACTGGTTATCGTGGGACTTGAAAAATATTTCAGGTGGGCCTTATTTCTGACTCTGCATATTTATAATAGAAACAATCGATGTTGATCCGTACTCCCCTCTTCCTTGATTTTCACGTGATTGTTTTCTTTTGTTTACAGAGATGTCAAACTCACTCAAACAAGACAATTTCGAAGTGCAGTTCAGGGTTCTAGTTCCTCAGATAATGAAAAACCATCGAGCAGTAAAGGACGAAAGAAAGTTAACAAGAAGTCTGGACCGAGTGTTATGGTGTCACGTGTTGATGTTGAGGAGGCAATGGTGGACCTGCAGCTCAGGCAGCCAAACTGCCGAGTGCGCATGTGTGAAACAGAGGAAGAATTTGCTGAGCTGTTGGCCATGTTTACTAAAGCCGTTGGCGAGGCACCTTTTAAGTAATAACAAATTAGTCATAGTACAAAAACCCTTTGGTCTGATAACTTGTAGACTTTGTAATTCGTTTCTTTTATAGTTTGTTTGACTACAGTTTTAGTTGACTATTTTTCGGCAAAAAATAGTAAAAAAAATATTATTATTACGTAGATTCCCGGGTGGCGAGGATACCTTGAAAACGATTATGAGTTACTTCCTGAAAACAAAATGTGAGGATGATCCAGAAACGATCAACGTGTACATGCAGTGTGAAGTAGTTTCTTCGTGCTCTTTCTGTTGCGGACTTTAACACTATAAAACGAAAAAAAAACTCTGCGAATTATCGAGTTAAAATCATTATTATAGTAGAGAAAGCTGAAGTAAAAATTAAAAACTTCACCCTTGTTTTATTGAGTTTTATTTGCTTTCTTTTAACACTTACAGGAAGAAGCAGCCAGAGACGTTCAGTTTCTGTGTTGAAGGAGGAGAAAAAGCATCCGTGAAGGTCAGTTAACAGCGGGATTAGATATGTAGCAGATTCCTGTGTACTCGTTGCAAAAAAGATTGAAAACTAGCTTCACTCTAGTCATGAGTGTGCACCAAAAACGGAAAATAAAGTGGGCTCTCGATTCAACGAAGGCCCAATTGACTGGCAAATGTGTTCACTATAACAAGGTCTCTTTATATATCGAGGTTCTTTTCCATATAATTTACTATTACTGGGGTAAAGAAATCGTTCCCGCGAGGACTTCGTTATATAGAGGTTCGTTATATCAAGCGTACTTACAGTTGTTTTTTGTCTCACAACAAACACAATTAAGTTAGATAGCTGTAAGGGCCCGCCCATTCGCCCTGTACGAATCGCCCGTCATATCCTTCGATTTTAAAACATATCTTAAGTTTGAAGCAAGTAAATGACAGCGGAAGAACTACTGTAAGCAAAAGGGTTTAGTATGCGTAGGAAGTTAATGTCATACCCTACCCTCCTTTTTACAGCGGGTTTCACCGAAAGAAAAAGTACGGAAATTTTCTTTTCAAAATTTCAACGTACGATTCCAAACTAAGCTTTTTAATTTAAAAATTCTCAGGTGTCAAAGGAGGGTGACGGTTTAAAGAAAGTATGGCTGCAACAGTTTCAGCAGTTCAGAAACGTCTCCGCAGATATGGCTGCTGCGATTGTCGCCGTTTATCCAACACCTCAAAGTCTACTACAGGTAATGTGAGATCATGCGCATAGTTTCTGCTGTAACTGCATACGTGTAGGTGATTTGCATTCACTTGTCGGTTCTGAAACTAGTTCATTAAGTGGAAGCAAAGGAATGGCAACCTTTAGAAAGAGGAAGAGAACGAAGGGGGAATTGCGGCGCCTGCGGGGAATTTTAGAAGGCTGGTCTGAAAAAATTCTTATAGTCGCTTCGATAATCATTGATTAATATTTGAGATACCTTATCAATTTTATTAGATGTCCTTGGTCATTGTAGGCGTCCTTTCTTTTAACCCACTTCTCGCTGTCTGGATATCCCTTGAAACACTCTTCCTCGTGTTGATATATTACATGAATGTTTGTTTTGTAGGCTTATAGAAGATGCGACAGTAGAGTAGAGTCGACCAAACTTCTTCAGGATATATTGGTTAGTAGCCAGCAATATAACCTTCTTACAAAAATAGTTAATGCATCTTTCACGTTTTTGTGATGGATTTGTCTCACAGTCAAAATAGAATCCTGGTGATTTCAGTTATCGGGGTTATCGATTAAGCGTTTGCGCCCATACGTAAGGGACAGCGAAAATAGAACCTATAAATGCCAAGTTTGGACTGCCTTCGTTACTTTTGATTGAGTGGAATCATTACTTTGGTCATAGACAGTGAACCTTCTCTTTTCTCATTTTTTCTCAAGTTCAGCTGGAATTACTCACTGCTTTGTCAGTTGGTGCTCAGTGCATCAGCGAACACAGGGCGCAGACGACTGAGTTATTTGTGACCTTGATTGTAGTTAAATTTTACAGTTGATAGCGCGAATCACCTTCGTTTACTCTTTACTGTAGAGTCGAAGTCAACGTGACCGATCAAACCGTCGTGCAATCGTGTTACAAACCTGGAAAAATATTATCCAATGCTCAGGTGGGAACGAAACAGGTTTGCAACACGATCGCATGGCGTTTTACTCGATTCTACGGCTCGCGGTATCAACTGTAAAATCTAACTACAATCAGTAGTGATCAAGGTTACAAATATCTTCTCTGACTGCCCTGTGCAGCGTCTTGAGAGGAGTCGTTACCGTCACGTTGCCATGGTGGCAATACTTTTAGATCGCAGCAAACCTTGGTCCGTACCCTGGGTACCAGCGATTTTTTCTCGCGTGTGACGTAGAGCTTCGTCGGCCGTAGACCGACAGCTCAAGTGTGTAGTTGCCCCCTGGAATTTCACAAAGAGAAACGAAAATAGAGCCTGATCTCAGGTTGAGCGGTGACAATATAGCCTACCTAGAGAGGTTGTTCTAAGATGAAGACCATTTTCTTAACTGATAAAATAATGCGTTACCTTTTCAAAGTATTCGAGTAGCAATCAAAACAGAACATTAACTGCTTGTTATTTCGGCTTTCAGGTTCGCCGCGGAGCTGGAGTGTTAGCCAACAGTAGGAGAATTGGACCCGAGCTTTCTCGGAGAGTTTTTTTGCTATTAACCAGTGAAGATGGTGACTTACCTGTGAAGTGAAAATCTGGGAAAGTCAAGAACACGTCAGCAGTATTTAGTTCGTTTCTTTTGCATGTACTTGTCAAGTAACAACTAATCAAACTCTGTTTTTGGGGGGACTCACTAAAAACTAAACTTACGCCTCTTTTCTTTCCAGTAACACGAAAATTAGTCAGTAACATGCAGTAAGCTTATCAATTATCAAAGTATTTCTCCTGGCTAAGGTTCTTGTGGTGAAGTCGGGGGTGAAGTATAGGCATCAAACATACAAAAAAAATTGTTTGTGACAAAAAGGTTTTTTTAAGGGCGTATTCGATTAACTGTAATCCGAATTAAAAATAAATGGAATTAACTGTAGAAATCATTTATTTTGGCGTTCATTGCATTGCAAATCTGCTTGAAATGAAGTATTCCGGATGTAGCGTGTAAGTGGTCCAAAAATCACGATACAAGCAAGAGATTTCAGGGTGACATTTGTTACAAAATGCGTATTTTTATTCCGAAATATGATCTATCGAACCGTAGTTACTAAAACCCGGAACGACCCACAACGACCCACAACGACCCACAACGATCCACAACGATCCACAACGACCCACAACGATCCCACAACGATCCACAACGACCCACAACGATCCCACAACGATCCACAACAACCCACGACGATCCACAACGTTGCGTTACATAAACTGGAACTGATTGAGAGCAATTTACGCCCATGTGATTTTGTTATATAATACGTTTTCCTTCAAGTGTGGCACGGAATGTACTAGGTTTTTCAACAAGGATTTTATGAAGATGTTTTTAAGTTGGCGAGTTTCTTAACTCTGTGTTTTTACGAGGCTGGACAAATGTAAGTTTTCTGCAATTTGTTTTCGTTTATTTGACTGTCTTTTCGCTAGCTAAGGATTCTCTTCTAATTTTGTATCATTTCGCAATTTTTAGCTTCAGATTACCACATTACTACGTTCTACCGCGTTGTTTTAATAAATACTGAAAATCCAGCCTTTGCCGTGGTTTTGCTCCTTTGACCCATCGGCCCAGCACTGCAATCCCAGTTCGCTTCGCTAGCGCAGAAATGTTTACGGAGAACAAAGCTGATGAAACTTTTCATGTGTCTTATGCATATCTTTATTCGATGGTCGGCTGAAGAGACATCGATCGGACATACAAATGTGTCTCTGAATGGAGATTCTTTCTCGTGAAAAGCTGCATTTACCCATTTATTTTGTCCTGTTTTTGACAACCCTATGAATGTGTTACCGGACTATCAAAGGTATTCTGGGTAGTTGTGAGTCATTATGTTTGCTATTCAGTATGCTTTTCAATTTTTGGAAAAAATTCAAAAGTTAAGTTTTTGATATTTTTTTCTTGGGTGGTTTCTTTCGTTGTGGGATCGTTGTGGGTCGTTTTGAGATCGTCCTCGGTCGTTTGAAGATCGTTGTGGATCGTTGTGGGTCGTTGTGGGATCGTTGTGGGTCGTTGTGGATCGTTGTGGGATCGTTGTGGGTCGTTGTGGATCGTTGTGGATCGTTGTGGATCGTTGTGGGTCGTTGTGGATCGTTGTGGGTCGTTCCGGGTTTTAGTAACTACCTCTATCGAACGCACCTAGAGTAATTTTAAAGGCCAACTATGGGACTAGCTCGAGCCTGCTTCTTGATATACTCAAATGGGACAAATTAGTTATAAGGAGAAAGAAGCATAAAGCAATAATGATGTTTAAATCTCTAAATGAACAAGCTCCAGTGTACTTGCAGAACCTATTTCACGAACGAAGCACAGACTATGATTTGCGCAATTCCTTTCATAAATTGACGTTGCCCAGGCCGCGTACTAACTACTTGAAACGAAGTTTCAGTTACAGCGGTGCTTTGTTGTGGAACTCTTTACCCGAAAATGTGAGAGAAACTAAATCAGTCAGGAAATTTAAAGAGCAAATCAAACATGTATTTGAGTCGTCGGACTCTCACTCGGCAGTCTTGTAAAACAGTATGTCGATAGTTTTTAGTCTAATTAATTGTGATTAGATTTTTACTCTATTATTACTGAAGATTTTACCGAGTTTTAAATAAAAAAATCTACCTATCTACCTACCTACCTTAAGTAAGAACAAGATATTACGTTACATTAGCTCATCAGTTGCCCGACATATTTCGACGATAGCATAATTTTTTGTTTTTTGAAACGATTTGCTAAGTAAGAGACGTTTTGTTCCAGTTCTATGCTTTTATTATCACAGTGTGCCAGTGATTTGCATTGAAAAATTCCAACCATGGAGAAAATATTAAAACATATGAGATAAGTCTCAACGTATACGAGAATATTTTGAAAATAAAGTCATTTTTTTATAGGGTGTTGTATCGATTTTCTTTTGTGGTATTAAAAGAAAGGGAGAATTCAAACAAATACGCCTGATGTCCTGCCATATTTCAAAGATTGTAAGGAAGGACCCAAGAAAACAATACAGTTTCGGATTTACGGAAGTCAGACTGTTTGCCTCTTTGTGATAGCTGACACAAAATTTCCGAAATATTCGACTTTTTATGATCATGATGACAGGTCCTTCTGCCGATGACTTTGCTGTTTGTTGTGTGCTGTGTGGGTCTAAACTATCACCTGTTGGTAACTCAGATCAGTGTAGTTTATGTACAGCCGCCAACTACCCTCTTAAGAGAATCGGGGAGAGAGGGGAATCCACGGCTGTACACAGGCTAGGTAACTGACGCAAGTTCTAAAAATACAACGCCACACAGTCAGGCAAAGTGGTAACAAGGCTAGTGGCGAGGGGCGAAGAGATACGGCTGTATTTGCAGGGTACAAATTTTGATGCCAAGTTAAAGAATCCACCTGATGACAAGGGCCAGGGGCTCCCTAAACACGGTATTTTCTCTGTTTAGTAACTCCCGCCTCAAAATAAGCTCCCACCCACCTCTAATCCTGGTAAGCCTCCAGTGTGAGGCACCAAAAATTACAGAGTGACTTTGCATATTTTGTCTCCTGGCCACACCTAAGGAGATGAAAATAATACTAAGAGTATTTAGCACAACTCAAGTGTTATGGGTGACTTTATTGTTTTGGCCCCAGATTTTTTTGGTTAACCAATTGCAAGGTTGGAAGAAAATAGTGACATAAGTTCACACTCCTCTGGAGAAAATAGTTGGAATTCCACTGCACGAAGTGAAATGACAAGCCATTTTGAGCCTGCACGGAGGAGAAAGGTGTATACAGTAGAACCTCCATGTGCGACCACCTCTAGAAAGCGACCAACTCCCATAAGCGACTGCCTATCCAAAACAGCAAAACTTTCCCAGTCAAAGACTTACAGTTGGAATCTCTAGTAAACGACCACCTCCTGTAAGCAACTGCGACCACTTTTGGGGCCTGAAAGTTTAATGATTTCCAGTTGTTTTTGACCTCTTGAAATGTATTCTCTGATCTCTACGTTCACTGTGTGCACTATGCTACTTAGAATAATTTATACCAAGAACTTTAGTGACGACATGGAACTACACATATTTTAACTTAGACATTGCATGCAATAAATTATCTTCCATAAAGTAGATGTTCCCGGACCTCTTCTTGGAAGAGGCACCCTGTGGTTCGATTCTTGTAAGCGACCACCAAGTCTTTGCATTTTGGGTGGTCGCTTACAGGAGGTTCAACTGTATTTTAATCCGTTTATTTGTTTTAGACTTTTGTCATCATCGATTCTCAGTCTCTTGTTCCAGGCGATGAACAGGAGAGACCTTGCTTTGTACATCTTGACCAAACTGAAACACACAAGTTAGCATACTGTTCATGGTAGTAAACTTTATTGTACAATACAAAATGTATTATGTCAGATTTACTGCGAGTAATCCTTTTGTTTGTCTTAGATATTTACAACTTATTCAAATTACAAACAACATGTTATTCTGATTTACAATGTCTAGGAAAGAAACACCTAATCCTATTTTATTCCTGTTGGTCATAAAGATTATTATTACACCTTGTCTGGTGAATAATAATGTTAAAAAGAAAGCAGCCAAAACCAGCATTATCACCATACATGGAGATGAATATCAGTTTGAAGATTAAATCTGTCTAAGTCAACTTTGTCTGTTTACATGCTGAAAAAAGGGCAAATATCTAAAAGAATAGACATTGATGTTTTTTTGACAGTTCCTGCTTTTACAGCCCTGGACATAGAAAGGCTACTACTTGTTGCCAATTCTTCATAATCTGCTGGGGCTGACCAAATTTGGAAGACTAAATGGGCATATAACATTGACATAATGGTTTATTGCCTCCACCAACAATATTACAATCCTGACCACAAAGACGATAAATTTCAGAATTACAGTAAAGTACCCATCCTCAGTGACACTGAACATGAGTTGTTGAATTCTCAAATTTGTGGTCTATGCTTGCAGTACAGTGGAACGTCTGTCTTTACTTGCCTCTATCATTGATGCTGAAACTCATATAAAATGTTCTGTTCCAAAAATTAACCACACTCCTTCAAAGAGGGTTCCTTGGTTTGATCGATCTGACCCCACCTCCCAACCCTCTCAAAATTCCAGTTTGGGCTCATACTATCATTTAAATCCTTTGTGACCCTCTGGCTTAGAATTTCCAGTGGGCTGGTATGGATAATTTTTGGAACCAAACAATAGAACAAGTCTTTATTTACTACAATAACGTACTGGTAATTTTTTGGTAATTTAAATTCAAATAAAAAGAAACATCCATAAGTCCTGATAATAATTATCTTCTAGTTTTGATAATCCTGAGGAACTATGAAACTTAGTTACATTTATGAGTATTCTTTGAATATTTATTTAACTAAAACCTTGCTGATTCAAACATCTCCTGCAATAGAGTGGACATGGGTACCTCGCCTTCCAACTTGGCTCTCACCAGTAAAAAATACTGGTATCCCTTGGTGCAAACATCTCGCAATGCTGGAAGCCGCAGCAGTAGCTTTGCAAAACGTCCACTTTGGTCTGGGTATGTTGCAGTCATATGCTCCTTGAGAGCTGCAAGATATGCGCCTTGAAGTGTTGAAACAGCTGTCTTGTCAGAGAGTCCTGGTGTCTCTATCAAAAGTTGAAATAATAATATTTAACAACCATTACATTTACTGACTTAAAAAGATCAGCAGTAATGTAAGGTTTAAGGAATACTCTACAATAATTTTACTTTGAGGATCCAACCCTGACGACAGGTCAACAGACTAATAATTAGTCTGTTGACAACGCATATTTTCCCAGCCATATTTTTGTTTATCTTAATTTTCCTATGCGTTTTTTAAATTCAAAATTTGATTTTGACCTCAAATATTAGCCTGAATTTGATCCGATTGCTTCGAGTTGTTTTCTCCTCTCAGTAACATCTGAATTGACCAGCCATTAATGCCATCCAGTGACGTCACTACTACCCGAAAATCGGGTAGTGATTTTGATTGATTGATTGTCTAAATATTCTCATAATTATGAAAAAATTTTATGGGATTGTCGCTTGATATTCAGCGGATCGCATCAGTGGCATGCTTGAGTGGAGTTCAAACATTTCAATAATCTTAATTGTAAACAGCAAAACTGCCCTTGTCTTCAAAACTGAATTGAACTACGAATGAAGACTCATCGCGGAGAGTCAGTAGGTTTTTCATATAGAGCTGCTTTGTGGTTTCTGCAGTGATTTTGTTTATGCAAAGTTTCTGAGACCAATGTCATGTTGTCATTCGACCTTCCTGCTATTTTCACCATCAAGTGTAGTGATTCTGTTAGCTTTTCTTTCTTGTTTCCTTGTTTTCTTTTTTATTTGTTAAGGACCAAATAGCTTCTTTTCAATTAAAGGAAATTGTTGTGTTTTTGAACTTGTGTAAGTGTTTCGTATGTGTATTTATTTCATTGCGTGATTGTGAACAAGTTCGAATTACAACCACTTCAGAGTACTGCATGCAGTTGATAGTTTGAACATTAAACAAGAATTACCATCGAAAAGAGTAAAGCAATTCTGTCAGCTGTTCTGTATCATGTAGACATTTCCAAATCAGCGCCGTAGCTAGTATGAGGCCAACCGAGGCACTCGCCTCGGTAAAATTTTGACGAATTTCGCCGATCATTTTTATTTTAGTTAAGCGATCATCGGATATTTTTAACGCATCATGATATTACAAAGAATTCAGCAATTCAGTCAATATACTATGAAAAAATTACCACATCATCGATCTCAAGGGGCTACGTACGTTAACTCAAATTTTTTTTGAACAAATACTGATCAAAACCATTGGCGAGGTTAACGGTTGTTTTTCTGGTTATTGCCAAAATTCCACTTAAATTTTGCATGAAAAAAAGCAAAGGCCCAGTAGTGACATCACTTCCGAGAGACTAAAGTTCAAAATTTCTCGGTGGGGGGCATGCCCCGATTAACAGCTGGTCGGTTGGCCGTTTCAGATGTTAAATTGTTTCTTCGGGGAGTTTTATTTTTGCATGAATTAAAGAAGTAACATCAGATGAAATTCAGGCTATTTTCAATATTGATTTAAAATTTGAACCCAGATTTCCTATTTAAATAAATTTAAATTATCAAACTTAATTACAGTACATAAAAATTAAGCCAAGAATGCCTTCAATACCTGGATCAATTAGAAGGATGGTCTTCAAGCAAGCAAATTCCACATCATCTATAGAGAGAGGGCGTAGTCTCTCCACAACATCTAAAATCATGTCAACAATTTCTTTGTTCAGTACGTTGTAACATTCTTCTTTCGTAAGTAGTGATGTGGTGTTCATATACACTTGCTCCTTGTATGGAATTGACCTATAGATGACCCTAAAAACAATAAGTTCCATGCCACCAGCTGTCAAAAGAGCAATCTGATCCGGCCGACAAAGCTCATTGAATCCAGGAACCAATTTGGCCCATTCCACAATCAAGAACAGTTCTTTAGTGATTGCGTTTGAAAGTCTAGTAAGAACTCCTTCTCGGCTTTCATTTACAGAGTTACTGGAGTCACTTGCTGTTTCTCCTGGAGGTACAATACAAGGACTGCTGCTCATTAAGTTTTCAATGAGGTCAGAGCAATATTTGATATTGCTTTTGTTCGTCTCCTCATTTGAAGAAGTTTCACTTCCTGTTTGAGTCTCCTGATCACACTTCTTCTTTTTGAGCGGATAAAATGATCGTCCACCACGCTTTTTTTCTTTTCTCACCCCTGGTAAAAAGTGTAGATATCATTTTACAACAAAAGACAAACAAAAAAATAACGATGGAATGAAAATCTTCCTACAGGCATAATTTAAGGATAAATATCAAGTCTAAGACCAAATACAGAGTTTCTAGATGCACTGCTGCAAAAACAATAAGATTCCTAAAAACATCTTTCAAACTCTTTAGAAAATGAAGATATTGATCAGTAAAAACTGAAACTTGGCATTTTCTTGAATAAATTGTTTACTTCTGGTAATCCTGGGAGTCGAAACGAAGGTTAACAAACTAAGGAATATACAGCACTGTCAGTAATATTTAGTCCTGCATCTCAACCCCACCTTTTCCCCCACGACCTTTTGAAAAGTGACAACATTTGATTAAGCCCTTCCACCCGCCCCAATTAATTGTCAGCAGAAAGCAACTGATATATCATCACAAAGTCTCCAATCTGATTGGCAAACACACTGGGTGGTAAACCAATGCTTTATGTACATTTGTATTTAGTAACCTGTCAATACAGACACCACTCATTGCTCCCTGCCACTTTGGACATTTATATTTGATCTTTGTAGCCTCTTATCTGTCATTTGTAAACAATAGCCACAATACAATTTCTATGTCTACCAATTACTGTACGTTGACCAGGTTCGGGATAAATTTACATTATCTGTATGGAATTTTCGAGGCTGAATTGCAGACATCTCTCTCGCGAAACATCACAAGTAGTAGTCTGTACCACAGACAAAGCTAAAGAGGCCCTGTTAGGGTAAAATGGCAATAAGCAACATGGCCTTGGAACATTTACATAAGACAGATGAAGCTGTGGCAACAAACAATACAAAGATAGGTTGAACCTGCGACAGCGACAGAGAAAAGTAAAAATACAATAGTGGCTCCGGCTGCAAGTGGCATGAAGTGATGAGAGGTGGATGTAATTGCAGGCGACTGATTAGGCATTCTGTTGCTGTTAAGTTAATACTGCTTAATTAATTTATTCAATCTGTGATTATTAGTGATTTTTAGCTTCTTTCTTTGTCACCCTAATACTACCCCCACAGAATGAACGTAATGTATATGATAATACTTCTTTCAAAGAATATGACAAGAGCTAATACCTTCTAATACCATTCCAACCGCAAAACACTTGTTCAGTCTGCAGGATGGACATTTGGCTCGTGACTTTCTATCCACTGGACACTCATCTTTTCCACTACACTTGTATTTTTCATGTAGATCTTTCTGAACTGTTCTTTTAAAGAAACTTTTGCATCCTTCACAAGTGTTTGCTCCATAATGATAACCAGAAGATATGTCATTGCACACAGCACACCACCTCTCGCTTTCATCATCGCTTTCACACATTTTCACAAGTTTTTTGCACCATCAACAACAGGATTCAGGGAAGTGGTCATCACGGCAGGACCACCGAAGACTTCACGGCCAGGAAGCCATTTTCTTCAAGCCTTTCCCCATTTACGGCTAAAAGACCAAATTAAGCAAGTCTTCTGAAGACAAAAATGCACGTTTTAGCTTGGAAACTGTACACAAATTTCTATAAAATGCTAGAAATCTTACATAACAACTCAGCACTGTCACACAGTACGACGTTCTGATTATAAAAAGATGACGTTTTTGTCACACAACCGGAAATGTCCAAACATCCCTAGGGCGGACGGGGTGAGAGTGTTACGCGAAGCTGTGTAAAATGTAGAATCTTTTTTCCCAAACATTAGGGAATTCACAATGAGGAAGGATAAAAATAGTTTTTTCCTTGTTTTTACAACTAGCTAAGTAATACAATATCGAATGGCAGTTACCGACGCAAGTAAAACCTGACTTTTTCTTCCCATCCCTCCCATCATCCTTTTAAGAGTATAACCCTTCCCAGGAGGCCCTTTGGTCTTCCTAAGCCTTATGATACACATGTGACACTCAAAACAGCAAATAGCTTAGCTGGGTGCCTTGCCTTCTCCGCCTAAAATTTTTTCTGTTGGTAAACATGAAAGGTGACCACTTGCAATGGTTTTTCTTATTCACGGTGCTTCTAACTTTTGCAAGCAACGTGGTATCTGAAGAATTTCAAAGATATGAGCCAACATGGAACAGTTTAGATCGCAGGCCTCTGCCTTCGTGGTATGACGACGCCAAGTTTGGAATTATGATGCATTGGGGTCTATATTCAGTTCCAAGTTTTGGCAGTGAGTGGTTTTGGTATCACTGGAAAGGCGAGAAGTCAGCGAAATACGTCAATTATATGAAGAAGAATTATCCCCCGGGATTTTCGTATGCTGATTTTGCACCAATGTTCACTGCAGAATTTTTCGACCCAAATGAATTTGCAAAACTTGTCAACAGTTCTGGTGCGAGGTAATGCTAGAAAATAGTGGATTGAGGTAGCTTAAGTTCAGAATCTGTTAACTTTAAGTACAACTGTACACCTGCCGCCTTTTTTTCAGTCAAATGCCTGAGATTTTAGCCTTGTTCAATTGTTTTCCGACCCCCACCCCCCCCGCCGTGGATGAGCAGATTCCTATCACCTAACAAAACTAAGACTTAGCAACCACAAATTAACTATAGAGACAGGACATTATTCGAGACCATTTAAGAAACCTGCAGAAAGAATTTGCCCAATTTGTAAAACAGAAATGGAGAACAAATACCGTTTTCTAATTATATGTCCTGCTTACCACGATAAAAGATGTTCGTGACTAAATTATTTGGAAAGAGAATATAGAATATAAATAAGCAGAATGTCACCTAACAAAATATTCATGTTTCTAATAAACCCCCCTAGCGGAAATGCTAAAATACAAAAACTAATGGCAAAACGTGTATTCGAATGCTTTGAAAAAAGGAAAGGGGAAGACGGTAGAAAGTAAATACCCTAGGACTTAATATTAATTAATAACTTATTAGTCATATATGGTTAGGAATTTTTGTTGCTTGTAATTTTAGTTATTTGGAAGTAGTTGATATACTACTCCAATTAAAAAAACATGTATGTATGCTTGTATGTACCACCTCACTTTTTTGTTGGAACCCTTTGAATAAACCTTTCCTCCCCCCCATCCACCTTCTCATATTTTGTCGGTTCTTTTGAAAATGGTTTCCTACTAGCTGTCTGCCGAGGAAACTCATCCATAGGGGGATTGGAATAAAAATGCAACGTCCCCATGACCGTCCCAGCGACTTCTGAGAAGACTTCCGAACGTTGCTGAAAATGTCTAAAGATGTTCCGACGACCTTTCAGCACTCCCAAAGCTATTTAAAAGACGCCAATTAAATATTTTTGTGAAAATTCAATTGAATTGTCCTTATTAGTCATGTTTTTAAGACCAATTTTTCAAGATTGGTGAGTCAGGCATGAGAAATGTCTTTAGTCCGCAGGTGTGAGACTCGTGCATAATGTGATACAACTGTGCATCATTTGTTTAGCTCTCTCACATCTGATTGGCTCGTCCTTTTCAGGTCAGTAATAACACCCCAGAAATATTATTTCAAGTGTCCCGTTTTTCTGAGTTTCAGCAATGATTAATTTTTAGCAGACTTATATTGCATTTGCCTCCAAAAGGCAAAAATGTCCAATGGGAAAAAATGTTGTTACAGCAAAAGAAACCGTAATCACATACTCAAAGTTTTTTCTCCTAGTCACCAGAATAGAAGATCATCAGTTTGTCTCCTGTTTTGAGAACTCTGATATTATTATTTTATTTTATTTTTGTTTATTTATATATTTATTTTAGTAGTATTATTTTATTATTTTATTATTTATTTTAGCTGTTACAGCAGATACTTAAAATAATAATTTACGAATTGTGCACTGATTGCAGATACTATGTGTTAACCACCAAACATCATGATGGTTGGACCAACTGGAAGTCCAATGTGACATGGAATTACAATGCAGTTGATAGTGGACCACATATGGATCTAGTGGGTGTGTACATGTTACATGTCAAAATTAAATACCAGTTGAAGTTTTTTAACCTAGGTTGATTCTCTATTTCCCTTGTATTCTATCTAGCCCTAATTATTTTTGAATCAGGGCTAGGAAACAAAGGAAAAAATAAAGAATCAATCTAGGTTAAAAAAATTTAAACTGAATTTAATTTTGACCTGTAACATTATATAGTATTCATAAAAAAGAAGCACAATCAAACTGCTCCCGCTCCAGTTATAGGCTCATTTATTGTTTAAGTTAATATTTTCATCTTGTTAAACTGATACAAGTGCAAGGTATAAAGCTATATATGCTGTGGATCCGTTTTGATAGTCTTTGCTGGAGATTTGTGTAGTCTACAGTTAATGCTATTGTGTTCAGTTCTATTGAAGCACCGTAATAATGTTATTCCAGGATGAGTCCCAAGTCCCAAAGGAAAGATAAGAGATAAGCAAGAGTTTATAGGAGAGAATTTCTTTCCAAGACCCTCCTTTAGGAGGTGATAACCATGTAGATGATTGATTTTATTTTTCTCTTTACTACAAGTAACAATATTTTGCTCAACAGCTGCTCTTGCTAAAGCCTTCCGTGAAAACACCAAGGATGTTCACTTTGGCTTGTATTTTTCACTGTTTGATTGGTTTCATCCACTGTACCTTAAAGACAAAGAAAATCAATATCACACACAGGAATATGTAAAGGTCAGTGAAACGTTTATTAATACATATTTAACAGTTAATGAATGAGGCTGAGTATCTTATGAAGAATTGTGGAGATCAAGGAGGGTGTTATCCGTCGAGGCCGTAGGCCGAGGCAGATAACACCCTCCGAGATCTCCATAATTCTTCAAATGATACGAAAGCCGAATTCAATAACTGTTTTATTATTCATTCAAAATAATTCCTAGTTTCAAAACATAGCTAAAACATGCTTACCTCCATCGATCCATCGATGTTCAGTTCATCTTCGATAGTGTACGTTTAGGTTTGTCCAGCTCTGCAAATATTCTCCAAATAGCAGATGTCGCCCTTCGAGTTGTCTTCTTGCTGTTCTTGCCATGTTTGTAGCTATTTTTTCGCCTAGTTATTACTCTTGAAACGAGTGAAATGTCCGCCATTTTTTCAAGTTCACAACCAAAACAACTCAACCTCATCCCCAGGTCTTCTCGGTTAACAGTGCCTTAACCTGCGAAGACGCTGCATTTTTGACGTCATTTCCTCGTTAAAGTCAAAATTCTTCCAAATTTGGTCATCAGTAACTGGTTATGGTGAATTAAACGTGTGCTTTTAGCCAATCAGAATCGGAGAAATATTTTGAATGAATAATAATGTGTCAGGTGTGTTTAAGCCTTTCAAACAATATATATCAGTAAATAAAATACATAGTATTATGCCAAATACATCTAATATTAAAAATAGTATTAAATTGTACTGATAATAATGTTGAAACTGACGGAATATAAACAATAATATTGTTGCTCGTGGAAATATCTGATTGTTTTAACAATCAGTAGGATGCTTAGCTTAGATGCATGCAATTCCACAATAATAGGCTGGCCACTTGCACCAAGAGGTCACATGACCAGCGCTTCCTTTTAAAAAACAATGACTTGGAATCCTGTTGATGACAAAAATTGACAGAGCACTTAAAAATTATCTTACACCCGAAATTTGACAGGAAACGCATTTAAGGGAGATATTTTATGGCACTTTGATTTTCAGCAAAGAAGTATGATTTGTATTGGCCGCCATGTTGGAAGGCATACTCTTGCCCTCCAGCTTGGCGGCCAAAACTACTGTTTGCTGGTATGTTGTTAAACATTTGATAGTTATGCTCAGATGTGCTTTAAACGTTACCGCATCATCTTTTCAACAATGTCCTTGAAGTTTAAGTTGAAAATTTCTGTTCTGAAAGAGGTAATTCATAGTTTTAAAAATCACGTCTTGTTCATGTGACCAGCTATGAACTTACTCATTTTAAAAAAATTGTGCCGGTTTGGAAAACTAAATCACTATTATTTTGTTTAAGGTATGACTGGCTAATCGTTTTCTGAAGGCAAATCATATAACTTTCATTTTCATAAAAATTATGTTACATGACCTCTTAGTGCAAATGGCCTATTGCCAACCAATTTTATTATTGGTTTCAGATGCATTATATCCTATATTCATTATATTGCACTACCATTTTAGGAGAAGCCACTGATATTGTGAGAACAGTTACTAACAGGACATAACTATCAAAATAGCCTCCCTGCAGACGTCCTTTGGGGTTCGTTTGTACGCATTCATTTCTCCCCCACGGGGAGAAATGAGTGCGTTACAAACGAACCCCAAAGGACATCTGTGGGAAGGCTACTATTACAAAGGAAAAAAAAATGCATTTATGTAATCTCTGTGTTGCATTAGAAAGTGAGTGAATTACTAAATAAACCATTAACCAAATGTGTGACTTAAATTTAAAATCCCATGTCAACAAACAACCCAGAAATTAATAATGCAGCTCAATCTATTAGTTTTTAAATTAAGGTGACTGTTAATGATGTTATTGATGTTGTGGTTTTTTTGTGACTGTAGGCAGTATCTGTGCCTCAGATTTATGATATTGTAACTACGTACAAACCTGATGTGTTGTGGACTGATGGGGATTGGGAAGCAAGTTCAGACTACTGGATGAGCAAAGAGTTTTTGGCTTGGCTTTATAATGACAGGTTTGTGCACAAGATGAAGATTGTTCTAAACTACATGTTCAAGTTATCTCTTACTCCCTGGATATGTGGTCATACATGCATATGATCGTAGGGTCAAAGCAGGACAAGAATATTAAGTTGTGCAAAAAGTTTCAGGCCGCTGAGAGACAGCGATGGCATGGGTTTCACTTACTTGTTTTTTCTCTGCTTGCCCACCTTTTTTGCTTGTCTGCACTGACCAAGAGCCTCAGTCGGTGGCACAGGCTGGCACAACACCCTACCGAAAATTATAAGGCGAGTAGAGATGCTCAGTGAATTTAAAATCAAGCTAAAGCACCATTTTAAACAGTGATGCCTGCAGTACATGTTGCCTTTGTAACATCAGTGACACACTCGCCTGTGGCTCGTTGCCACTTCATTGTTTTTACCACATTTTGACATCATCTGTGATCTATTACTGAACAGACGCATGGCAACATGGAATCTATTTGTTAATTAAATGTTGCATTGTCTAACCTTTCAAGATATTTACTGTGTGGCACAAAATTTTGCAGGAATATATTTTTGGGCATTGGCAACTAACCATCACTTTTTGTGTTTTGTGGGAGCTAATTTTTTGCGATAAGGACAGATTGGTTTTTCTTACTGGGAATAAATTTTTGCAATTTTCACAAAGTCCTGGACAAATCGTTGAGAATATATATATATATATTTTTTAATACATGCAATGAAAATATAAAATACATGATTCAAACAATATACTAGGGTGGGTACACCCTATGCACGGTAAATCCGGTGTTTATTATTGTATGTTTGTGAACGAAAGAGACTTCTAATTGATCACACATGATGTCTTAGCACTGTATTTTTGTGTAGCGAATTAAAGTGAGAGATTATTTACTTTGGAGTAAATTTTTGTGGGAAAAATGTTTGTGGTAATTTTTTGGGGGGGGAACTTATTTTTGCAGATTGCTGGAAAAATCACAAAAATCACAAAAATTACAACCCATAAAAATTTTGTGCTACACGGTAGTCTTTGCACTTGAAGGTTTGTTCTGTTATTTACATGTTTTTCAATTCTTCAAAGATTATTTAATAATCTTTGAAGAATTGAAATACATGTAAATCACAGCAAATTCAACATGTTGCACCCATTGTCATGCTACTTGAGTTTCACAAGTTACAGTTATTAGTTAGCAAAGCATACCTTCCAGGATGTTAATTATTTATCATGCTGCATTTTATGAGTTGGAAGATAATGTTCTGTATTATTAAAGTTTTTTCCCTTGTATCCTACAGTCCTGTTAGAGAGACAGTGATTGTAAATGATCGCTGGGGAAATGATTCTCGTTATCATCATGGTGGAGTCATGACTGATCCTGACCATTTTAACCCCAGTAAGTCATCTTCCTACAAAATATTCACAATAACCTTCCCTTTCCTTTTTATACGCTCATCAGTTTGCAGAGTCTCAGTCATATAATATATTTTAAATTTGCCAACGGAGCTCAGTGGGCTAATATATATTGCAAACACGAGGACATAAAGAAAAAATTTGTCAACAAGGTTGTTAAAACTATAAAACAAACACTGAATGTCCTACTTACAGTAAATCAGTACATTACAGGGGCGTAGCGTCCTTGGCACAAATACGCACGTGCGTACTTGAGAAATTGGTAGGATTTTTTTAAAAAGATTTTCTGTTATTAGTGAAAGCCATTTATAGTGTTGTGACTTGACCTTGTATTGTGCAGATTTGCTCCTGTCTGTCGAAGTCTCGCTGTTATTCCGCATCGTTTATACACTAAAGAAACAGCAGTTTGAGTAGTCGAATGTGATAAATTTGAAACATTCTTGAAATGTTTGCCTTCAGGCGATCCCACAATACATTGCGTTTTCATGAAAAACGAAGGGGGACTGGGGAAATTCATGCAAACACGTTTTCAAGATTTATCTGGAAAGTTTTCCGATTCCAAAGCTATTGATTTTTTAATTTTCTCTGTCTATAAATGTCGAAAAGTCTAACAATCAAGACTACTTTAATGTCGCTCAACTACGTAGGAAACCGTGGACCAGACCATGCGGAAAATTTACAAACACTCACACGTCGCAGTTCTTTCAACCGATGCATATAAACTCCAAATTTCTGCAACAAAAAGTACGCTTCAAGTGGACATTTTTCAGATCAAATTAGGTGTCTAGGAAACTGCCCACCTACTAGCCTGCGAAAACATCCGTTTCTCCTCGCTCTTCGCCGCTGGGGACGTTTCGCGAGGAGGAACGTCTGCGACTCAGCGACAGAAATTCCATACTGATGACGCAAAATCTGTCCGGAATCTGGTCAGAAGCGCTGATTGGTCGACAGAGTAGTTACATTGTTTTAGCTATTGTTTACGAATGACAGACAAAAGACAAAAGGCCACAGAGGTCAAATGTAAACGCGAAGAATCTCTAGCAAAACAGTCAATATTTGTTGAATATACTCTTCTCTAGAAGAAGAATTTGAGTTCTGCTGGAGCTCGTTGGCAGATGAACACAAAAATTTACCAAAATCGACCAGAAGACACGTAAAACTGTACAAATTTGTATTTGGAACCCCATGACTACCGGATTTATTATGTAAACATTGATTTGCGTCATCAGTATGGAATTTTTGCCACTGAGTCGCAGACGTTCCTCCACGCGAAACGTCCCCAGCGGCGAAGAGCGAGGAGAAACGGATGTTTTCGCAGGCTACCCACCTACCCATCCCCGTTTTTCCCAAAGTGAGAAGTAAGTGCTAATGTTAGCTTAGGGGAGTGGTAGGTGGGCAGTTTCCCAGAAATCTAAATTTATCGCATTTTTCTTGAGCGACAAGCATAAAAATAAAAGCGACGGTGGAGCTAATCTTTTGTTCTTAACATAAAATGTTTTGCTAAATTTTCGTTTAGCACTTGAAGGAAACATCTCATTTGAAACAGGTTTTGAATTTCGTGTGAATTATTCAGAAAGTTTATTTAAGGAAGGCGCTTTGCCGTGTGCTGGTAAACATTCCAGTACCAGCTCAAAGAAGAACGTTTTAATAGCCTGTCTAATATCATGTTCTGATGTAAACAAGCCTATAAACTGCCGAAAAATGTATTAAAGGAGAGCAAATCCCCCCCCCCCCCTGGGGGGCGGTACTCCTTATAAGAGGCTAATGGGCATGTGCCGCTGGGTGGACTCGCATTTTTACGACTGATTTATTAACTATAATGGGGTCGCATTTTCAACAGAGTTACTAGAATATGGGGTCGCACATTTCGGATTTGTTGGGTAAGGACGTTCTTCATAATTAAGATTAGCAAGCTCACCAGAATGTTTGTACTGTAGGGCGTACTTGCCAAAATGGTCACGCTACGCCCCTGTGACATCAAAGATGTACAGTAGGGTGAAATAATTGCAAATAGAATAATTACACAATTAGTAACAAGGCAAGATGGTGTTGTTATAAAATATCCACACTTTTAATTGAGGACGCTTTTTGTCAGAATGGACCGGCCAGACTGTTCTTGTCATAAAGCAAAATTTCACTTAATCAATACTATCCAGCCAGATCAGGTAAATCCCAAATAGTAGGTATGAGTGAGATTATTTTCAGCAAAAACTCTTTTAAAACCCTATTTCATTGTCAAGAAGAGTTGTCTATCCATGGCCTGGTGGGTCAGACAGTTCTGACTTTTGGAAAGTGTCCTAAGATCCATCCCTGTGTAGCTTACTCACACAATCCTTTTGTTTGCTCTTGGCTAGACCGCAAGCGGTCAATTTTCTCTCCTCATTACCGGGGCCCAGCCGAAGGCTGGCACCGGTCTTAAAATGCAGACCGTCCGTTTTTTCAACGTTACATTGTTAGGGATATATCGCTGACTGAGATATATCGCTGGCTCATTGAAATCTTATCCGCCATTTTGAAAAGAAGAGGCATGGAGGACAGTCAAGAGAAAGATTATAGCTTTTTTGGGGAACGACACGTTCCCCCAACCCAACTAGTTTATGAGCGAAAATTTAAGAGTGAATATTTGGAGAGACAAATTTACGAGCGATCACTTCTGAGACTGAACCTTCCATCGTGAAACTTATCGAGAAATTGAGTGAACCTTCCATCGTGAAATTTATCGAGAATCAAAGCGAACACTTATCAAAATTTGTCTTCAAAAAGATTTCAATGATTGACATACCGAAGACTTCAAAGCTCCATCGCTATGTTAATAAGGTGAGAAAACTTTATCATGCACGATATAAATGTAATAACAAACGCGATCCAAAGATAATTAACTTAAATAAAATGGCTATACCCAAGAAAGCTTATTTGTTGTCTTTCTTTAGCAGGCATTATCACAGGATAATGAAACTAAAAATAATGTAAAGCACGTCGATCTTTATCATTGTTTTCTTGCAATTGTGTGAGTCATATGACCAATTATGTGAATTTCAAACTAAGTAAAGATGTTGAGAAGAATCCAGGACCTACTCAATACAACACTGATCATCATGAAGTAATAATTAGACCTTCTATGCAAAATCACAGCTCAACATTGGTTGAGGTCACACTAGAGACTTTACTATGGTAAAAAAGGGCTTTACTATGGTAAGTCTCGCAACGTCTTCTTTACCGTAGTAAACCTGACAGGTCCACTTAAAAGGCATTTGAAACTTTCCAGGCGTTTTTTCTCGCGTGATCGGTAACGTGAGAGTGAAAAGTAAAACAAATGATGACCTGCTATGAGAGCTGACTAAATTGAAATTACTGAACTGTAACTTCCTGAGCATGACCCTCACAAGTGTACAAAGATGCTTCAATGTGAGAGAGTATTGTTTTCTGTTGTGAGCATTTTGCTTTTAATTCTGCTGCTCAGACGAGCAAGAAGAATGCGCTCCCTTATTACCTACCTTGGTTTCGAATACGAAGTTAGTGAAGATGTTTTAGTGACAGGTTTATTGATTACTCATCGAAGACGTATTCTTAGAGAAAGAGCGGCATTGCGAAGGCAAGCGTGGGTTTAACCTCGACCCCAGGAATGGTTTGAAGAAATGTACAGAAACAGAAACCTTCAAGCACTGTGGAAAAAGCAATCACCGATGTTCTAAAGCTATTCTGTTATGTGACCCTTTTTGAAACTACTTTCCTCAAAAATCATGACAAACTGTCAACAAAACAAACAAAGTTTAGATAGACTAGAGATATACCCACCTATTTTTTTTGGTAACCAGATGGTTATCGGTGATGGGTCATCTTTGTTCTTTCCGCGGTAGTCATGGAAATTAACCAGGGTAGAGTTTACCATTGTAAACTGAAAAATGCCGGTCACACTTACGGCGCCGTTTACTATGGTAAACTTGAGTTTACTATAGTAAACTTTCTCTAGTGTGACCTCAACCAATGCAGTTGAACTCTCCTATTTCCTCTGAGAATTTGATGCAGTCAAGATTAGGTGCACTTTGTTTACAATCAATAGATGTTGGCGGTGCAGGTGATTGTTTCTTTAGATCTGTATCACATCAATTATATGGCAAAAGCAACCATCACATGCATATACGTACTGCTGGGGTTCAATTTATGAGAGACAATCCTGAGAGATTTATTGAGAGCAATACCGAAAATTCGTGGATAAGATATCTGAATAATATGTGTATTCAAGGTACATGGGCTGATGCACTTATCATTCAAGCAGTTGCAGATATACTACTGTTTACCCAGTTCAGGAAAGAAATACTTCCTCTACAATAATTACTATAGGCCATATTGATGAATGCCACTATGTATCAACCACTGCCTTACAATCAAGTGCCTCCATTTCAATGTGCAATGAATTAACAAATGATACTCAGTCATCAATAAATAAGCATTTTATTGTGTCTGTATATAACACTGGATGACATTTTTTACAGTGCAAGACAACAATCCATGACCACAAAGATCTATTTCAAAAATGTCTTATGTCTGTTATCATTTCAAATTCACAGTGTTTTCGCAAAAAATAGATAAATGTGATTAATAAATCTCAATGATAAACCTGATGATAACGTACTTGAGAAAATGTGAAATTGTGATAATTCTGTAACAACCTTCTTTGCAAACTTTGTCATTACCATTCAACCCAAAACTGTCAGTGATTTTTGCTTTTTCACTCAAACTTAAAAACAAATGAAAACCTTATACAGATCACACTTATTGACATCACAGTGTTACTAAAAACACTACTATAACACAGACCGTTAGCTGTAATAACACTGAACAAACTTACAACAACATCCTCCTTTCTCATGCATTTTGTTGCTTTTCTTCTGCATGAGTTAATTCAGACTAAGTATTAGCCTCCACAGAGGAGGGGGGAGGGGTGCGAGAGGTAAACTATATCTATGCAATCCCGTATCCCACTGGGCCCCGGTAAGTTCCACGTAGTGGTTCTAGTTTCCTTTATTCCCGCTTCACCTTTTTCGAGCTGTCAAGAGGGAGTTAATAACGGTCTTTTATCAGTTGGATTAGAAAATTCTCTCTCTGTCCACAGTTTGCAGCATATGCGCGTATTTTAGCCTTTGCTTTCTACAATGTACACTGTAGTTGTGGCCACAATCAAAATTGATAAAAAAAAAATTGCTGGGTACAGTTTAAAATGTGGGAATAATTCATCTGCAGCAGAAGAGTTAGAATGACATATCAACGTGTAACCGTCACATGACTAAAAACAAATCAAACAATGAAACATTTAAAGAACCAATTCAACTGAACATCTAAGTACCTTGTGGATATGACGGCTTGTGTCTACTCTTCTAGAGGTGTTACAGGAGGAAAAGTGGGAAGATGCCACAAGCATTGACAAGGGCTCTTGGGGATATAGACGAAACGCCAATGTCGAGGATTTGCACAGCACTTATGAACTAATTACGCTTCTTGTTCAAGCAGTGAGGTAAGAAAAGAGAAAATGATGATCAGCGATTTTGTGCTGTATTTAGGGTTAGCCTGCGGTGCAGGCGTTTTCTTCGGGCACCCAAATGTTTTTGCCCTCGAAAGCGCCTAGTTGAAACTTCCCGAAGAGAGGAGGAAATGGGGCTTTCTTCTCTCCCCAATCTTCCACTGTCATAAAATCAAAGATGGCGGCTACAACAATAGTTTCACCCACCCAAAATACGCCTGCACTGCAGGCTATGTTTAGGGTTTGCTTGAAAGGCGTGGATGGAAGCCAGTGGTTTCCGGCACCCCATTGTGAATTAGCCTCCTTGAACTAGTTTGCCCCGTGAGAAATATAGTTCGCCTCATAATGATTAGTTAGCTCTGCAAAATGTTCTTTGTAACGTAACCTGGTTGAAAGAGATTAACCGGTTTAGTTTCTCTAAGCAACCGGACTCAATTTACACTTTTACAGCGCCCTTCGATGTCGGGCTGTGCTTGCGTGCGGGGCTAACTCGGAAAGTAGGGGCGAACTTGTAGGGGACCAATTCACTAGGTGGCGAACTCACTTATATAAGGCACAGAATTTAATACACAGACTGTGTCCATTATCATGCCTTCTTATATAGTAAAATGTATAAATCGCTTCATTATATTTTGTTCAGTTGTGGTGGAAACCTCCTGTTGAACGTCGGTCCAACTAAAGAGGGCACTATAGCACCCGTCTTTCAGGAAAGGCTTCTTCAAATGGGACAGTGGCTTGAAATAAATGGTGAAGCAATTTACTCAACAAAACCATGGCGAGCTCAGAATGATACAGTGGCTCCTAATGTCTGGTAAGTTGGAAAATAGACTATGTGGCCACTTTCCATTGAAGAAAAAGTTAAACTGACTGTTTCTATTACCAGTGGGCCCTTTTGGTACAAAAATGCCTGTTGGAGTGTTACGAAAACCTTGAAACAAGAAGAACAGAAGGGCTTTAATAACGATATGAAGCTGTAATTTCCGTTGTTTGCCTTGTCTCAGAGAGTTTCTTGCGCAACAACGAGCGAACACGTGAGCGACTGGCTGCAAATTGTAAAGGGCCCCAAAACTTGCAGCCTTTGGTTGCAGATGCCTAAAATGAGGAAGAATTGATAACGCAGTATTTAGGTTAAATTTAGAGGGTTCATCCTCCGAAACTTTATAACACTTTTCGGTCACTTTAGTTGTTGGTAGAAATATATGTCGCAGATTCGTTTGTTCTTTTTAGAGCCGATGATTAATCAATTCTCCAAGAAACAGCGAACTGTTTTCAGTGACAACAATAAAAAAAAGAACTTTTTTTCTTCTGGTCCAAAGCTGGTTTTGCAGATGGATAGTGTCAACGCTTTTTGGTACATGTCAGTACATGCAAAAGTTAATTTTATTGTATTTGCCATTGGTTAGTCCCGTGAGCCAGCTTTTTTCTTTTCTTCGTTCTTCTCGCTTGGATCAAGGGCTGGGCCGCGAGAAAGAAGCTCAAATATCAGTGGCGGATTCAGACCACAAAAACAATTTTTTTTCGGCCCTTAGGGCCTCAGTTTGGTCTCAAAAAAAGGGGGAGCTTTGGTCCGCGGGCCCCTCCCCTGGATATCGTCGAGGCTCCCCTACTGTTACTACGTGTAGGTCATTAAGGATATGTTTTTGGAGCCTAATCGGTATATTTTTTAACATCTTTTAGGTATACTACAAAGTATACGAAACCTAATGACGACATGGCGTATGCTATTATTTTAAATGAGTTCCCGACCACGTCTAGCATTGTGCTGGGAGAACCTGTCACCACAAAAAACACTGTTGTGACGATGCTAGGAGTGGAAAAAGATCTGAAATGGAGCCCATCTTCAGAGAAAGGAGGCATTGAAATCTTCATTCCGCCGTACTTCCAGCTGCCGTGTTCCTATGCTTGGGTTTTTAAACTGGAAAATGTCGTTTAACTCTTTTACTGCAATTAATACTTTTGAGCCGGTGGATGAAATCATATGCTCAGATTATTTTCAAATAAAAGGTTTTTAAAAGCAGCACGTTACTGTGCCACTGTATACTAGTATGCTGCTTCTACGAGGTACTGATTTACTTGCAACTGACATTGGATTTTGCCGTGATGGAAATTCTCTAGCTGGGAACTATTCAACAATATATATGTTATTGTAATGAAGTTCGCATTATCATACATTGTTTTTCAATTCGACGGACCGGTTTCTGTAGCAGTGATTAGAAAAGTAATCGGTAGGTCACCTACAAAGTTTGTTGTCAAAACGTTTTGATAACTATAAAAATAGTTAGCCGGCTGCGCTAGCGGAGTTACGGCGTTATCTACGGGCCCGTACTCTTGAACCGTGTAAATAACGAGAATTAGGAAAAATAAAGGTTATTGTTGCTATTCATCGTTTTGGTGTTAGTTTTTACTGGGCTGCCTGTGCGGCCCAGTCATAAATTCGGTGTTCGGTAGTCTGCGGCGAAAAACGGCCATCCGGGGGAGGGAAGACATGAGGGTCTGGTACCGAAAACGATGTTCTCACAAATGGTTTCATATGATTTTCTCTTGCACGGAGCCTTGCACGAATACTTTTTGTACCTCGTCTCCGCTATTGTCTCCGCTCCCCCTGAAAAACCCACAAGGAAGGAAAAATTGGGGAATTCTCGGTTTTCACTGTCACGCAATCAAAAATAAAATTGCAAACCATTCAATACAGAAAGTCCCGAATCTAGGAAATAGAAGAAGATAAATAAGCAAAAGGCCTCGCCAAGAATCAGGTCTGTGCGATATTTCATATGTGAGATATTAGGAAAAACGTTTTACCAAAATTTAGAAAGCTTTGTATGGAGACGCCATGTTTGTGTCCCTTTGCGGGGCACAAATATGGCCGCCGGAAACCAACAGAAACATCTGTTTTTGAGTTTTCGTACTAATGCGTTAATTCATCGCTTGAAAAACTCATAAAATATTAAAGTGATATTTATTCTGAGACAAGGAATGTTTAGACAGCAAAATCTCCCAAAATTGGTAATGTTTGTAACCCACATGAGAGCCGTTGTGGCCGCCAGCTAAATGCCGCGTCACGCAAAAGCCTAGAAATTCAAACGTCCTCTATCGCAAAACGAAGAACCCTTTCGAACCAAAACTCTCTTTAAATAAAGGTGTTTAGGTGCTGTAATACTTCATGAAACTCAGAAACTCAGAAGAATCGATCGTTTCTTAGTTTGAATTTTAGTGACGTCATGTGAAAACCGAGAATTGGTGACGAATTTACTTTGTTTGGATAAACAAATTAGGATTTCTGATAGAAGATAAACATACCTAACTTTCTAAGTTCTAAGTTTTAAATAATTCAAGATTAAATTCGGGCATTTAAAATGATGTTTTCCCTAATATTTTTTCAGTTGAAGTACTGCAATAGACGGTCATTTAGAACGTGAAGTGTTAGAAATATTTACTATAAGTAGAAAAAATGTTATTGGTTGGTTTCTTTTGTTGAACCCATTTCCAATAATAATAATACCAATAGACCTTTTTAGATTTTTAGCTTGTATATTCAGACCAAGTCATGTTCTCCCGTGAACTTGCCTTTTGTCTTTTTATTGCTGCGGAGCGACCGAAGGGAGCGAGCAGCAACATAATCAGGATTTAAAGGAAATATATATAAAGGGGCGACGAATTCTCGAATTCATTACTTTTTACCACAATGCATTGCATTTAACCACACTTTTTACCACAATGCATTGCATTTAACCAGAGTGCATTGCGCCACGAACAACTCAAATAAAAACACGGAAAAGTTCGGTGGGTGAGAGAGTGCATCGTTCGCTGCTCAGACTTACAGTTTTCTTTGTGACAAATTTTCTACAGCACGGTTAGAGGTCTTACCAAATTTTAAGACACGCAGGAGTCTTTCAGACGAGTACGATGGTTAACTTGGGGATTGGATTTCAATTCAAGAGCCTTTGACTCGTCCAGGTGTTAAACCTGACGAGAAGATGAGCATTTGCTCTTCGACTCCGCAACACGGGGGATATACAAATTCCAGCTTGCTAGAAGGTGATGTGAAAGTGAGAAAATGTCATGCAATGCTATTCTTAAGAAACTGTATGAGCCGAAAATGGATGTGATTTGGACCATTCGCTTCAAAGTAACAGCGGAAATCGCGATAACAAAACATATGTTTTGTGTCCTACTTTGCAGACGAGGACGTGTATCGGCGTTTTGAAAGGCATAATTATGTTCTTTCATTCATTCATTGCCTTGGAATATGCGTTTACATTGTGTTTTCACTGTTAATAGCTCGGTTAATGCGCCTGGCGATCATCTTGCCGGCGGAAGTTTCATGCAAAAGGAATAAAATAAAAGACTTTTCCTGTTGATTGCATAATCAGCCTCTGTGGTGTAGTGGTTAGGCGTAGTCGCGTCGAGCCGAAGGTGCCGGGCTCGAGTCCTACCGAATTATTTTTTCTTACTTTCTTTTTTTTCCGTTTTTTGTGCTGTTGTTTTCTATAAATATATATAAATAACTGTTACTTAATAAAGTGCAACGAACAGCAAGAAAAGTATTGTGTTTCCAGAGAAAATATCGTGCACCGTATATTAAATATATGGATAAACAATCTGAATTTCTATTATTTCCTACAATTTACTGTGGGAAAACCAGAGTTGATAACCACTTGATCATTTTCTAAACAACGTTCCCACGAGTTCTTTCTATAGACTGATAGTAATTATTCTAGTACTTTCCAACACGTAAATAGGACATTCAATGTCATTTTTTATTCTTTTGAGTCTCACTGCCTAACTAATGCCAGTATCAACAGAATGTGCCGCAGCATTACTATCTTTTAGATACCCTAGTTTTAAAATTATTCACACATATGCACGTGCATAAGACTTTGATGAGTTTCTTTTTCTGCGTCTCCGATTTACCCAGACTTCACCGCGGCTTCATTTCCACGCTCTAAGGCCATGTGATCAAGATTC